TTTTATGAATTAGCTGTTGTGACGTCTTAAACGGAATATAATTTTTTTAAGGCCTTTGTATGTTATGTATACAACTTAGGGAAAAGGTAACGTGGAATGGTTCACTTCATGATATACGACGCCTGCAAACAGTACCTACCATTATTTTTAGTCACGCAACACTAACGCAACTTACCGTTTTGTAAGTTATAACCAAAAGTGGCCGGATACAGAAAGCAACCTCGGAGACATTGCTATAAAACAAATATGGTGTAACTGAATATAATATTTAATAACTATCAAAATAATGTAATTGTATACAACACAATGTAAGTTAAATTACATGATCAGTCATCAAAATAGATAAAATTAGATTAAAAATAAGTGTAAAATGGAACATCCACTATCGAATATAGATGTTCACCTTGACCTTGACTTTTACCTCAAGGAGGTCACAACAAACCTTGTTTGCCAAAACATTTTACACACTGACAGCTGAGGCGCACCACACCACCTTCTCCACCCTCACCTCATTTTGACAACTCGGAGGCAAATATTGTGTATCGTATATCATCATTTAACAACATGACGGGTAAGGTGGAGCTCTTGTATGTGTAACTCGTTTTGAGTCTTTTTAAAAAGGCAAGAATATAGTGTCCCCTCATTATTATTTGCAATTCAGAAATCATATTAACGAAAAATATGTTCCATTAGCTATTTACTGTATTTTGATCAAACTGTTTTGGTATGTTAACAGTTTGAGAAGTTATTTTAATGTTTCAAAATTTATCTGAAACAAGACATACATACATTTCTCCCTCCCCTCCACCGTCGGCAGAATAGATTGGGTTCTTATCTGAGTCAACTCGGAAATCCCAATTAACCGTAGTGGCCTGGACCGTTCTTGGTATATGATAGGATCTGAGGTTTTTATCGTGTGCTGGTTAACATGCTGGCGGTGAAGATGTTGTGGAAGGCTCGTCAGTGTGGTGTGAGGGAGAGGGCCGAGTGGTGGTGAGGCTGTGGGTCGTTTTATTTTATTTTATTTTTATTTTATTTTTCATTTTAATTTTCTTTTTTATTAGGCACTCCCCTACATCTTGTGTAAGGTGAAGCGCAGAAGCGTTTACAGCGCCCAACAGGGAAGCATGCTAAGTTCATGCTTGCTTTTGTCTCATGAGTTAAGGGCGTAGAAGCCTGAAGAGTCAATGGTTTTATGTCAAGTTATTGGAATCTTCAACAACTTTCCCTGAATACGAATTCGCAACTTTCGACTTACAACAGGTACACACATTACTGCTAGGTGAACAGGGACCAATGAGAGCTAGGAAGTATGTCCAGACAACTTTTCCACCGGCCCGGGAATCGAACCCGTGACATCTCGCTTGCGAGGCAAGAGCGGTACCGTTTTACCATCGGTGCCCCCAGGCTGTGGTTCACTAGTTCCACCCAGTCGACGCCACGACTCCTCAACCCCCCCCCCCCTCCTACGTCTTGTTTTCTCATCTCACCGCGCATGACTGTCTGTCCTCATCTTGTTATTATTTTTATTATTATTATTACAACTACTGCGAAGGTAAGCAGTAATTTACCAGATGTGTTGATTGGTCTTTCCGAAAGTTGCGAGATATTAGCAGCGGTACTTGATATTGATTTATTAATTTGGTAATATCTCTCTCTCTCTCTCTCTCTCTCTCTCTCTCTCTCGCTCTCGCTCTCGCTCTCGCTCTCGCTCTCTCTTTCTCTTTCTCTTTCTCTTTCTCTTTCTCTCTTTCTCTCTCTCTCTCGTCCAACCATTAAAACCACATATGCTGGGTTAGAAGTTATAGCTACAGTATATGTAATTTTTCGTCTGTTGCATCATGTATTGCAGAGAACATGGTGACGAGCCCTCCCACCCAGGTGTGTTAGCAGGATTAGCTACCCAAAAAGTATTAAGCTCAGAGCAGTGACATAATACAAACAACTCTGATATCATTCTGTATAAAATGGACACCGAAATTTTTTTTGGCGTTAGTGTTGATGCAAACGAACTGAGGTTTTAATGGAAGTTGCAGAAAACTTTTCCGGTCCATTTTGGCAATACTGTGAATGTGACAATATCACTCGTAGCTTCAATATCACACGTGGATGATGACACAACTTGACAATGTTTTGAATTCAGATTTAGAAGAATTTTTTTTTATAGGGAAAACCATAGCGAGAGGTTCGCACAGCGATTTTATATACGGTACTGTACTGTAGTTATATTTATTGTGCCATCGTTTGCGAGGTTGAGTTCTACCATGTGTGTTAGTTGAACCTTAGTATCAGTATTAACCCATGGTGCTATTAATCATGTAATATATCAAATGGAAAGGTATACCAGTCTGGAATAAAATGTGTACCCCAGTAACTATAGCTATTAAAAGCTGTGTATAATAATCTTCTTATTAATTTGATATAAATAACTTAGTGTCATACTAAAGTACATCTGTATTTTTTGAGTTAGTGCTAGCTAATTGAGCCAAATCTTGGCGTGACGGAATTACTAGGCTTCAAACGCTTATTGCCTTAGGATTTGATCTGCTTGTCGCGAGTAGTTTAATTAACTCGGCAGCCAGTTGATCTATAACTTGGGGAGGAACTGTCTCCCTCTAGTTAGTAGGGGGAGCCTTTTCCCCTTCTAGTTAGTAGTGTGGGGGAAGGGAGCTTTTTCTCTATCTAGTTAGTAGGGTGGTGGGAGTAGCTTTTTCTCCCTCTAGTGAGTAGGTTCAGTGTACAGTAGAACACGTTATACTGGACGCGGACGCTCTCGGACACTTTCACCCTCGTGTAACATTCCACGAGACTGAATACAATATATTTGTCTAACTTTAAAAGGCTATTTAGTAAAGTAAACCGCAAATGTACCGGAATTATTGAGAAATGTTGAATTTATATGCAGATGGAAGTTGTAAGTGATGTTACCATTAATGAATATTAAGCCATCTGGGCATCCGTTATATATAACAGTAAGGATGGCTTCAGCTGCCGTCAATCGTGTAGCTTTAAAGGACGGCAATAGGTCACAACCAGGAAAGTCGCGAACTAAGTGGTTGATCCCATTTATTCCCGTGAGCGTAAAATGTAGCTCATTTATTGATGTTTTTGAAAGGTGAGAGCAGTTGGAAGTAAGTGTCAAGGGAACGAGGCGGAGGACGTTAACATAATGCAGTGGTAGCTGGTGTGTAGTGGTCCCCTGAGGTGGCGGTGACATTACAGTAATAGTCTGCTGACCCACATCCCTGTCAGCACCCCGCCCTCCACTATTGTTTACCTCACCCGTCCACAAACACACACCCTCTAGTTTCACCAGATTGACTTAAATCATAAAAGTTATTAGTTGTTATTTCACAGAGAAACTTTTAGCTGTGAAGATCATGAAGTAGGTTGACGTGTGGCGGGTGTCTGACCGAAGATGATGTGGGTAAAGGGCAGTGTGTGGCCCCGCTGAAGGTCGTGGCTGGTGTACCTCCCCACAACACTGGTCCTGGACCCCGGCTATCGTACAGCTGTCATCTCCACCACTTTTTCTGCTACAACTCGTCGCAGTATCACACAGTATTGACTTATTTCCTAACCTATTAAATCCACCTTAATTGGTTCATTTCATTATTTCACGTGATCCTTTCCTCTTGCCTTCTTTTCTTCCTATCACCACAGTCTTTTAGTACCTACTTGTCCTACCCCGTTTTGACTCAAATCTGTTTTCCACGTTGACTTCATCTCCTCTTGATCCCACTACATTTCGCCTTCATCTCCTCTTGACCCCACTTCATGTTGTCTTCACCTCATCTTGACCCCACTACATGTTGTCTTCACCCCATCTTCACCCCACTGCATGTTGTCTTCACCTCATCGTGACCCCACTGCATACTGGCTCAACTCAAATAATGACAGGCAACGGTCACTGGATGCTGCATAGATTTGCTGTTTGACTATCTCAACTAGGGTAGCTAAATTTGTATTGGGATATTTAATATTAAGTTAATAAAATGATGACTGTGTGGCTTTTGGGGGAGGCTGGAGGCCACGTTTAAAAAGCAGTAGTAGTAGTATTTTTACTATTAATATTATTGATATTAATATTATTATAGTAATAATAATAATAGTTTTGCACACAACCCCACTCGCCCATCGTCTGTATTTTCTGATACCCTTAATTTCTTTAGAAGTGTTTTCAAAGTGTAACGAAAGAGGTTTTGGAAGTTATTAAATTTGTTGGCAGGTTCCTCCTGACCATGATTTATATTAATTTAGAGGGTAAGACGTGTGCTGTGTTAGTAATGTACTGTACCTGTATTCTTCTCTTAATAACAGATCTTACAGCAGCAGTAGGAAGAGACCTGGAATCGTTTGTTAGTGTATACCAGGTAACACGTTTGTAATACATTAATTTTTTGTATCGAGCTAGGCAAAATCTTAATAATTTCTTAGAGAATTCGTGTTATCATCTCGACCATAATATTTTTCACTGTAGTGTGTCATGTAAATGGCCTACATATTCAATTGTTAGGAAGAGAAACTTTCAACTTAGATTTCGTTTAGTATAATAATTGAACAATCAACTTTACGTGACCTGGCGTGTAGATCCTAAGAGTTTATAATAGAACAGGAAATGGTCTGAGTAGCATGCGCAGTAGTCAGTTGTGCGCGTGTGCGTGTTGGACATGCTGCCAGATGTCGACGTTTTAAATGAACTATATTCACTCTGGTGCCGGCTGGGTGGGTGATGGTTTACACAGAATTCACGATGCTCTTTTCTTCATTTTAGAATCTTGTGTAAACTGTCTACTGGTTGGCCAGCCTGATAACTCGTACAAGAATAATAATGTATTCAGGTGAGGGTGTTTGGGGTGACATTTAGGGGAAAATGGTTGTTGGTCATTGCAGTTTTACCTAATTTTTATTGTTGAATTAAAGTGTGTGTGTGTGTGTGTGTGTGTTTATAAGTATACAAACCCAAGAGTGTGTTGTTTAACCTCACTTCTTGTCAACAGGTCGTGTCCACTCAGCGACCGTCTCCGCTGTCAACCCCACCGCCAGAAGTGTCACAGTAGAGTGGTTTGAAAAAGGCGAAACGAAAGGAAAAGAGGTGAGCATTATCGTCTGTTATACTACGAAACTGTCGCATGGCGCTATTGATATTGTCTTCAGTCTTAGAACATTGTCTCAGGAACTTGTTCTGTCCAGTGCCTGTTACTGACCCAAGCTGAACTGATCTGGTCCACTGTTACTGACCCAAGTCGAACAGTTCTGGTCCACTGTCTGTTACTGACCCAAGCCGAACAGTTCTGGTCCACTGTCTGTTACTGACCCTAGCCGAACAGTTCTGGTCCACTGTCTGTTACTGACCCTAGCCGAACAGTTCTGGTCCACTGTCTGTTACTGACCCAAGCTGAACAGTTCTGGTCCACTGTCTGTTACTGACCCAAGCTGAACAGTTCTGGTCCACTGTCTGTTACTGACCCAAGCCGAACAGTTCTGGTCCACTGTCTGTTACTGACCCTAGCCGAACAGTTCTGGTCCACTGTCTGTTACTGACCCTAGCCAGAACAGTTCTGGTCACTGTCTGTTACTGACCCAAGACGAACAGTTCTGACCCAAGTTCGAGCAGTTCTGGTCCACTGTCTTACTGACCCAAGTCGAACAGTTCTGGTCCACTGTTACTGACCCAAGTCGAACAGTTCTGGTCCACTGTCTGTTACTGACCCAAGTCGAATAGTTCTGGTCCACTGTCTGTTACTGGCCCAAGCCGAACAGTTCTGGTCCACTGTCTTACTGACCCAAGCTGAACAGTTCTGGTCCACTGTCTGTTACTGACCCAAGCCGAACAGTTCTGGTCCACTGTCTGTTACTGACCCAACCCGAACAGTTCTGGTCCCTGCTGTTACTGACCCGCTGAACAGTTCTGGTCCACTGTCTTACTGACCCAAGCTGCAGTTCTGGTCCACTGTCTTACTGACCCAAGCTGAACAGTTCTGGTCCCTGTCTTACTGACCCAAGCCGAACAGTTCTGGTCACTGTCTTTACTGACCCAAGCCGAACAGTTCTGGTCCACTGTTACTGACCCAAGCTGAACAGTTCTGGTCCACTGTCTGTTACTGACTCAAGCTGAACAGTTCTGGTCCTTATGACCCAGCTGAACAGTTCTGGCCACTGTCTTACTGACCCAAGCTGAACAGTTCTGGTCCACTGGCTTTCTGGTCCACTGTCTGTTACTGACCCTGAACAGTTCTGGTCCACCCAAGCAACAGTTCTGGTCCACTGTCTGTTACTGACCCAAGCTGAACAGTTCTGGTCCACTGTCTGTTACTGACCCAAGACGAACAGTTCCTTGTCCACTGTCTGTTACTGACCCAAGCTGAACAGTTCTTGTCCACTGTCTGTTACTGACCCAAGCTGAACAGTTCTGGTCCTTTGTCTGTTACTGACCCAAGCCGAACAGTTCTGGTCCACTGTGTTACTGACCCAAGCCGAACAGTTCCTTGTCCACTGTCTGTTACTGACCCAAGCTGAACAGTTCTTGTCCACTGTCTGTTACTGACCCAAGCTGAACAGTTCTTGTCCACTGTCTGTTACTGACCCAAGCCGAACAGTTCCTTGTCCACTGTCTGTTACTGACCCAAGCTGAACAGTTCTGGTCCACTGTCTGTTACTGGCCCATGCAGAACAGTTCCTTGTCCACTGTCTGTTACTGACCCAAGCTGAACAGTTCTTGTCACTGTCTGTTACTGACCCCAAGACAGACAAGTTCCTTGTCCACTGTCTGTTACTGACCCAGCCTTCAGTTTTCAGTTCTGGTCCACTGTCTGTTACTGACCCAAAGCTGAACAGTTCTGGTCCAATGTCTGTTACTGACCCAAGTCGAATAGTTCTGGTCCCTGTCTGTTACTGACCCAAGCCGAACAGTTCTGGTCCACTGTCTTACTGACCCAAGCTTCAGACAGTTCTGGTCCACTGTCTGTTACTTACTGACCCCGTCGAATAGTTCCTGGTCCACTGTCTGTTACTGACCCAAGCCCGAACAGTTCATTGTCCACTGTCTGTTACTGACCCAAACCCGAACAGTTCATTGTCCACTGTCTGTTACTGACCCAAGCCAGACAGTTCTGGTCACTGTCTGTTGTTACTGACCCAAGCGAACAGTTCTGGTCCACTGTCTGTTACCCTGACCCAAAGCTGAGGCTGATTTCTGGTCCACTGTCTATTACCAGCCCGGCCAGGGCCTAAGTTCTGGTCACTGTCTGTTACTGGCCAAACCGAACAGTTCCTGGTCCACTGTCTGTTACTGACCCAAGCCGAACAGTTCTGGTCCACTGTCCTTGTTACTGACCCAAGCCGAACAGTTCTGGTCACTGTCTATTGCATTTAAGCTGAGCAGTTCTGGTCCACTGTCTGTTACTGACCCAAGTCAGCGAACTGATTCTGGTCACTGTCTGTTACTGACCCAAAGCTGAACAGTTCATGTCCTTTTATCTGTTGACCCAAGCCGGGCAGTTCTGGTCCACTGTCTGTTGTTATGACCCAAAGCGAACAGTTCCTTGTCCACTGTCTGTTACTGACCCAAGTCGAACAGTTCTGGTCCACTGTCTGTTACTGGCCAGCCAGACAGTTCCTTGTCCACTGTCTGTTACTGACCCAAGCTGAACAGTTCAATTACTGGCCATTACTGACCCCAAGCGAACAGTTCATGTCCACTGTCTGTTACTGACCCAGCCGAACAGTTCTGGTCCACTGTCACCATTACTGACCCCAAGACGAACAGTTCCTTGTCCACTGTCTGTTACTGACCCAAAGCTGAACAGTTCTGGTCCACTGTCTATTTACTATTTGGCCCGAACAGTTCTGGTCCACTGTCTTACTGACCCAAAGCTGAACAGTTCTGGTCCACTGTCTGTTGACCCAGCTGAACAGTTCTTGTCCACTGTCTGTTACTGACCCAAGACGAACAGTTCCTTGTCCACATCTGTTACTGACCCAAAGCTGAACAGTTCTGGTCCACTGTCTGTTACTGACCCAAAGCTGAACAGTTCCTGGTCCACTGTCTGTTACTGACCCCAGCCAGGCAGTTCTGGTCCACTGTCTTACTGACCCAAAGCTGAACAGTTCTTGTCCACTGTGTTACTGACCCAAAGCTGGGTGGTTACTGGTCCACTGTCTGTTACTGACCCAAAGGCCGACAGTTCCTTGTCCACTGTCTGTTACTGACCCAGCTGAACAGTTCTTGTCCACTGTCTGTTACTGACCCAAGCCTAGGCAGTTCTGGTCCTTTGTCTGTTACTGACCCAGCCAGGCACAGTTCTGGTCCACTGTTACTATTTAAGCAGGCAGTTTCTTGTCACTGTCTATTTACTGACCGCTGAACAGTTCTTGTCCACTGTCTGTTACTGACCCAAAGCTGAACGGGTTCCTTTGTCCAGTATTGCAGCCCAAGCCGAACAGTTCCTTGTCCACTGTCTGTTACTGACCCAAGCAGATGATTCTGGTCCACCGTCTGTTTACGCCCATGCAGAAGAGAGAGTGGAGCGGTGACTGTTTTTGTTAAGCATCTTATTAGCAATGTGCTGGCAGTAAATTGAGTGTGTTAAAGGTGTACTCTGTTCTGAGTAAATTTTTCAACTGAAATCACTCGGTACGTACTATCATGCTTCCCATTCCGTGACTATCAGTTCCTCGCGTCGAAGGTAACTTTTAATTGGGCAGATTTTATGAAGGTTAACAAGTCCTCTTCACGAGGTGTATCCACCGCTAATACCTCACTCAATAATATTTGTTTTTCCCGTTTCCTCAAAGGTTCGTCTTGGCTAACATTATACTGTAGTAGTGGTATGCGTTGTGGTCCAAACTTAAACATTGGGGTTACTGTATTTAAATGTGATAATTTACTATTCCAATTTGATTTATTTTTTCATTATGATGAAATATAGCTTATTGGGGTAACGTGTTAAAACCTCCAGGATGTCGAGATAGATAGGAACCACTGTGATGGGAGATGACGTCACAGGATGTAGCTATCAAGGTTTTCCCAATGAGGTGTTTGTTCCTCAGTCAGTGGTGGTAGCAAGGTTCACAGCTCATTATCCCTCGTCACTAATTATAGAATCAAAGTACCTCAGCTAATGATTGTAACATACCTACTGACAACATTCTCTATCAAGTCACCTTCTGCACCTTGGTGACGTCATCGCCACAATACATAATGCAGGTGAGTTTTTTAATTAACAGAACGACAAGAAGTTGCGACCAACTCCCTTTAATCCAGAGATAAAATAAATTTAAAGGAGAACATGAAATGCTTGTAACAAGGTAGTAGGCAGCTATCAAACAGGGAGGTACTACCGCCTGGGAAGATATTGGAAGCATAACGTGTTGTCTAATGGTAGACCCTGCTGCCATATGGCATCATGAAAATTGTGACCAAGTCCCAGGTTGCTGATCTGACTTTCTGCCTCATTTACACACAGTTGCAGTCTCAATTGTTTCTCTTACTTTGACAACACAAAATATATATATATATATATATATATATATATATATATATATATATATATATATATATATATATATATATATATATATATATATATATATATACTATATATATACGTATATATATACTGTATATATATATATTATATATGTATATATATATATATATATATATATATATATATATATATATATATATATATATATATATATAACACACAGACATACATACATACATATACAGGTTGACAATCTCTTCAGAAATCCTTGGGGCCAGAGGCATTTCGGAATTTTCTGCTTCAGAATTTTTTTTTTTTTTTTTTTTTTTTTTTATACACCTGTATTAGCCTACCCGGGCACAAGTCACTGACCCACATTGGGCCTGGGTGGCAAAATATAATACAAATTATAATAATAATAACTTCATAGGTCTAGGTCGTGTTTTCACTTTTGATCTTTTTTTTAATTCTTGTATTTCTTTATTATTATTATTATTATTATTATTATTACTATTATTATTATTTTATTATTACAGTATTATTATTATTATTATTATTATTATTATTATTATTATTATTATTAATTTTATTATATTTTATTACAGGTTGACATCCCTTATCCAAATCCTTGACCAGATGCATTTCGGTTTTTCAGAATGTTTTTTTACAGGATCAGCCCACCCCGGCACAGGTCACTGACCCACATTGGGACCTGGGGCTAAATATAATAATAATAATTATTATAAGAATAATAATTCAGAGGTCTAGGTCGGTTTTCACTTTTGATCTTTTTTTTCATTCTTGTATTTCTTATTATTATTATTTTATTATTACAGTATTATTGTTATTATTATTGTTATCAATCTTATTTTATTTGTTTTTTTTTTATTTTATTTACTATGAATAATTATTATTACTGTATTATTATTATTATTATTATTATAATTATTATTACTATTACTATTACATTTTCACCCCCAGGCCCTGATGTGGGTCAGTGATCCGTGCCCGGTGGGCTAATACAAAAAGTTTGGTTTCAGAGCTTTTCGGTTTTTGGAATTTCGGATAAAGGGTTGTCAACCTGTATATATATATATATATATCATTCCTCACTTTCATTTTACTAAGTTTTTTCCATTACTGTATTTATTTGGGGAACGTGGCGTGACCTGTGCCTGGTGGGTTGGTGACCTGTGCCTGGTTGGGTTAATCCCAGTTTAAAGAAAAAAAATAGCGGCTGGGTGGATACAGCACTCACCTCCTACCCTTAAGGCCACACTTTCTTTGCGGTTGAGAAAGTGAAGTTCGTCGAGTGTAGTGTCGGTCACATTGCCTCCTTTGTGCATCAATAAGTCTAGTTTGGAATGTGTTCTATCCGCATGAGCCGTAAATCGTATGGTGACTACTTTCGCAGTTGAATGAGATTCTAGTAATACAGGTAGCTAAGGTGTGTTTACTCAGAAGAGCTTTCATTAGCTAGAACTGCCTGAGATGGGTGTCGCTGAGACTGGGGATTGCTAGCGTGCAAGATTTAACACTCGGCACAGCAGCTCGGAGTTGTTGTAGTTAACAAGGTATAGGAGTGGTATTCAGTCGCCACCACCCACCCGACTGATCTGGAGCAATCCCGGTAGATCAGGTTTCCTTTCGGAATCGTTGGAACAATTCACTGGGAAGAGGTATCCGCCCTATGGCACTCCCGTTGAACATATAAACCTTTTCACCCTCCATATTTTTATATATTGAGATAGAATGTATTCACAACTGATAGGAAATGAGTTTGTTGACGATAGTCTTATTTTCATATATTTTCAAAGACAAGTGTTAAATAAACTCGACTAATCGTGAGCGTGCAGCCTTGCGTCAACAAAGACCGTGTTTGATTTATTCGCCGTGTTCATAGCGCCCAAGGTTGTCAATCACCGTGTATACCGCTTCATGCTTCGGGAACAAAGTAGCAGGCTTCCATACTAGAAAAAACAAAACAATAATAATAACTTGTGCAACATGAACTTCAGAATGTATTTTACAAATTGTCTGAAAACTAATCTCAAAGCGATCCCAAGTGTACTATTATGATTAATTGAAAACTTTGTCAGATGTTTTATGTGATGCAGGCATGGTGTAAAGGGAACTGGACCACTGTATAATGCTCGGGTGTAGGTTGTGAATTTTTTTTATTTTTATTTACAGAGATAGCTGTTGATGCAGTACACATCCGTGTTAGTGGTTAGGAACACTTAATTCAGCAGTTAGAAGCAAGTTCAGTAAGGAGGGTGTATCAATACTCTACTGAGCATTTAACACAGATATGTGGCCAGGTGTTTAACAGATAATACAGAAGGAAAGTTACATATATGTGAAGGATAATTTGGAATGGAGGGCCAGGTTCATTAGAGGACAGTGAAGATTTAATTAGTATAAATAACATCCCTCCTGTTCTAGGCGGGCGGTGGGGAACGTTGAAATAATATCCGTCCGTCCGTCCGTCCAAGCATCTTATGAACTAGATAACTATAATAAACTTGGGTATTATATAAACTAAATGTATTAACCCAAATTTATATAATTGTTATTGTCATGAGACGGGGGCGAATACATTGTGGAAACAGCTTTTACTATATTTCAATGTTAAAAAAAATGGCGAGGATATTTAGTCGTATTTCTTGAGTCTTGGTAATTTCTTTTGTATTGATTAATGTAAACTAAAATATTATATTGCATTAATGTTCATGGCCACTCATTAGGTTACTGATATATGACTTGGTTCTTCTGTATTTTTCTTGTGCCCAGTTTCAAGATTTATATTTGTGAATAATATATATTGCATAATTACACTGTGATGGCTGTGGCCGATTACTGATTTCTTGTTTGTATTGTGGTCGATTACTCTGTAGAGGTTGTGGACCCCTGAAATACAGTAATTGTGGATTTTGTAGGGGGTTCTCATACTAAACCAAGTATTGTTTGGCGCACACACTAATAATACCTGTATAATGTGTGTTTGTGATGAGCTTGTAACACGGACACCTACACACACACACACACACACCCACCCACCCACACACACACACACACACACACACACACACACACCCACACCCACCCACCCACACCCACCCCACCCACCCCACCCAAACCTTACCTCCTAAACTTCTTCAATTTCTGAACTATAACTTCCTTCCCCACCTCTAATCTTTTCACCACTCATTTCTCTACAAAAAAAAAAAAAAAAACCACCCACTGCCACACCACCCCGTTGTACTGCGGTGTCCCCCAGGACTCGTTTAGTTTAAAACTCGGGTTGAATCACGAGGACCCTTTTCAAGGGAAGATGTTTAATAATACGGGCGTCAGCCTCTAGACTCTAGAGGCTGGCCACTAAACCTTCACAACACTGCATTTTTCGATTATTTGTATAGAAAAGGGACTATTTTTATGCGTTAGTTTCTTTAGTTAAATTGATGTAAATATGTTAAATGCACTTGCCATAACTGAAATAAAAAAAATATTTGATTGGTTGCATTTGTAGTTGATCATGTCTTTCATCAGCGAATATTTTTTTTTTCAGATCGAGTTCGATGCTGTGTTCGCCCTCAATCCTGATTTGGCGCCCCAGGACCAAAATGCCATGCCACCGCCTTCAAAATTTGTGAGTATCGCCCCTGTTATATGGCTCGCAACACAGCCACTTGGGCTGCACACCTGTAAGGCAACACATCACTCACTACAGCACCACCATCCACAAGGCATGTGTTTAGTGACGGCCACCAACCCACGTAACCAACACACGTGCCTTTGGCATTGCCATCACCAGCCGGGGCCCACACTCACCCACGTTCACCTTTATCTGTCTGTACTCAGTCAGCACCCACACGTGCACGCATGTAGCACCCACCTCCAGGGGCCTCAGTGTACGATCTAAAGGGATAATGATCTAGGGGCAGCACTAAGTGGGCTATTGTTTGGGTAGTGCACCGGATCTTAATTGTGGAATTGTATATAGTGTACTGTATTGTCTTTAGTGGGGATTACGAGACCTTGGGCTTCGTCTGTTATCATGTCCGGTATAGGGCGTGCATGGCCTGTTCATGTTCTCGCTGCCTCTACCTCCTAGATGCTCTTTACCAGTGTATGTTGGACGTCACGTCTTGCTCTCATCCACGCTATCAATAACCTCACAGCTGTAAGTGTTAAGCACCATCCTTCACGAGTAATTTCCCATAAAGCAGTGAACGAGGGCAAGAACCTGACCACTATGATAATTGCTCTTTGTCTCAATTTGTTTGGATTGATATAAGTCCCAGGTGCTGGAAACTTGTTATATCATTACCTTGTCTTGGTGAATGTTAGTTAAATCTGCGAGTAGTGGGTGGAAGCGTTAATCCCAAGTAGCTTGTGTGTTGGCCCACAATGTTACTGGCGTGATTAGACTTACGGGAAATTTAAGTGGCCTAAAAGTTAGTGGAGACGTTGTAACAAAGGGATTATTCTCTTTGATGCCCAAGTTACATAAAAAAAATATATACAGTATATGCAAATTTTAGGTAGAGTAATGAATGTGTGATGCAGACTGTAATTAATGTAAGTGTCAACTGTGAACGTGACCCATGTAAGAGGCTACCTGGCTCAAAATCTATAGACAAAATCAAAATTTGATTTTGGAATGGAATAATTTAGTCAACTATTCGATTATTGTTCTGGTATTATGGTGCGCCTCTAACATACACAGCAGTGGTGTGGAGTGACAAGTAATAAGTCCCATGGATAAGAAACCCACACATAATAAACCTGAACTATAAAAAGGCAAAGAATACAGGATTCATACCATGATGTTTGTGTGGGTTTGTTCAAATGGTAAACTTGTGTGTTTGTTACACACGATATCCGGCAACAGTCACCAACTTATAGTGTGTGTTTATTTAATGTAATACTGTATTAGTGACATTCGGCTAAAAATAAGGTGAAGAGCGTGTGAGAGTGAGTGTGTGTGTGTGTAGGGGGGGGAGCTTGGGTTCACTACTTGTACTTCGTACACCAGTACAGTACCATTTTTAGATAATTGTACTTTACATTTACTTGAAATTTCACAATAGTCTGTACATGTACTGTACTTCTACATGATGAAATGTTCTTGAAACCATTCAAACACTTTCATTTTTCAGGTACAGTACTTGGCATTCGGTAAAGAAAGGCTCAGCTTGGTATTAAATCCCATTAACATTCATGAGTATAATATGTGAGTTGGCAACCTTACAACTGAGAGTTACTCAAACTAGTGTTCTTATTTTCATGGGAATTTTTGTGATCTAAGGAAATTTGGTTCAGGAAATTTTCAAGACAAATTTTAAGGAAATCAGGATTTGAAAGTAAAATGGGACGAATCTTATTTGATTTTTAATAAAATTATATGGAATCGGATATTGAAACAAAAAATTCCGTAAACGGCTTGTATGATTACTTAATATTCTTCAAATACTCTGCGAACCTGTATAATACAGGTTCACATCACGTCATACTCAGCGGCTCAACCAATCAGGCAGTAACTACGGATGAAAACTACCATATTGCATTTTTGTATGGGGTTTTGTGGTCTTTTATTAATAGTTTCTCCTTAATTATTCGTGAATAACTAATCAAATTGGGTTTTATGGGATTTGCTTCCTATAGAGCAAAAAAAAATATGTATCATAGTAAAGCGAGTCATCTGTGTGATTCACCATATTCTGATACGAATTATTTTGAGGCAAGGCATTTAGAGGGTCATCGCTTGCTTGTACTTGAGAGAAAAAGTACTTGAACCAAGTTTGGTGTGTGTGCGTGCGCTGTAGTTTGAGCGTTCGCGTTTTTGCATGAGCTGCCAGCCACCTGCGACAACAGTAGGAGGTCGGTGTAGCCCTGGGTCACGGCACAGTTGTAGGTTAGTTGACAAGTGTATGATGATGATGGGAAGCACTACCGGTAAGGTTTCTAGCACCATACGAGTGTTACTGTTGGCCAGGTGTATGGAGTGTGGCTCCCTGCCCAGATGCTGATAAGAAAACACCCATTCCATCTTTCACCTCTACCGTATTTTGGGAGAAATTACTTCATTTTCTCTCCTTTGGATGTGCTGGCCTACGAGTTTCCCCTCCCCCATACACCCTCCAGGACGACGAGGACGAGGAGTCCAGCTTGTCCGAGGCAGATCTAAGTGACTACGTGTCAGGACTCAACGTTGGGCGAGCGGTGAGAGGGTCTGGACGATTCCTGAGATCTTCCCACACTCACAGCAACGTTCCAGCCGCCTATCACCCACAGCGGCCTCCTTCCGCCCACACGTCACATCTGCCACGTCCTCCTGGGCACCAGGTGGCTCGCTCTCAGTCAGCCTCCAGGCTCACCATGGTACGCCAGCCAAACCCTGCAGCTACACCTTCCTTTCCTCCCTCGCTCTTGTTCATTAATGCCCCTCCCTCTCCAGCAATATGCCTCCCTCTTACCTCCCCATATCTTGTAGGAGACCAGACCTGTCTTCATCCCTGGGCGAGTAATAATGATCTTGTCTTCAAGAGTGTACTGTGTAAATAAGGGGTGGTGGAGGGTTGAAGATAGGTCTCCTGGCATCTCGGGGTTGTGAGAGGTTTGCGGAGTGGACCCCACCTATCCACACCGGGCACGGCACACACCTGCATCATGTGGTGATCTGCTTTCTTGCCTGCTAAAATGTTTACCTCTGCATGTTATTCATTCTGCATGAGCTTAATTAGAACAGCCTTACTTTGTTTAATATGCTTAGGTAGATTAAGGTATGAAGTAGAAATTTTAACTAACCAACTCGATTAATATTTGTTAATGAGTTTACTAGCTATAAGGACTGAATAACAAAATATAATTTTTTTTTGGATTGTATCCCCAAGATCGACAGTTTTGTGTTATACAGAACAAAGCGTATTTTTTAATCCGTGTTGTAATTTTACCCTCTTCCACTATTTATCATGATTTATTGTTAACTATATTTTATCATCTGTATTTTTTTTTTTTTTAAATGTCTCGTTTATACAGAAGAAATGCAGTGTATGTTTGTTTTTAGTGTAGTATAGCATATTAAGTTGGTGAAGTGGCCGTGGTAACGCACATGACGTGTGAGACCCCCTCCCCTGGGTGTAACAGCTGCCGATAACCTACTGTGATAAACACAACAACCGCTACACTAAACCTTTATAGTTCATCACTCAATACAACCTATGTATTAAGTGTGTGTGTGTGCGAGTGCGCACGCAGTTGAGAAAAAAATTATCTGGGCACTTAGCAGTGTCTGGCATGCGAGTCATTGAGGATCATTAGTGGAAGGGGACTGGTATTGTAACCTACTTTCTCAGTTTTGTCTTTATTAGGGAGTGTTTCTTTGTGATTTTTTTCCGACTTGATGAAAAACAGCTATATATTTTTATATATATATATATATATATATATATATATATATATATATATATATATATATATATATATATATATGTATGTATGTATGTATGTATGTATGTATGTATGTATGTACACATACATACATACATACATACATACATATACACTTTACCGTCTTGCATAATTATTACCTGCCGCTCTTTATTGATTAATATTGCCCCATAGTTTGGTGTTGTCTCCTAGTATTTATCAAGTGTTTCTCAGCGAATTGTTTTCTTTGTTTCCATTTAAGGTTTTCCTCCCCTCTGTTTTGTCCTCCAGATCTTCCAATAAAATCGTTTATAAACTCAAAATTAAATTCCACACCTGCACCTTTCTTTATCCGGTGACTTGTTAGTGATAAGAGGACAGTAGGTTAGGACGAGCAGTTATCCTGACATTCAAAAAAGGATTTTATCCCGGACTCGTAGGGCTCGTGTTACAGGGTGCGTGGAAGGTGATGAAACAATAAATGTGTAGTTGTTGTTGTTGTTAGGTAGCGAGCTGCTCCTGTGTAATTGTTCTGCCTTGTCTGTATGGCTACAGTCCGGTGCACCTATGTTATGTCTCATCAAGTATGGCTACAGACAGGTGCACCTATGTTAAAAACACATGTATGGCTATAGACAGGTGCACCTATGTTACCCCAATTATCAAGTATGACTACAGACAGGTGCACCTATGTTATCCCCAATTATCAAGTATGGCTATAGACAGGTGCACCTATGTTATCCCCAATTATCAAGTATGGCTACAGACAGGTGCACCTATGTTATCCCCAATTATCAAGTATGGCTACAGACAGGTGCACCTATGTTATCCCCAATTATCAAGTATGGCTACAGACAGGTGCACCTATGTTATCCCCAATTATCAAGTATGGCTACAGACAGGTGCACCTATGTTATCCCCAATTATCAAGTATGGCTACAGACAGGTGCACCTATGTTATCCCCAATTATCAAGTATGGCTACAGACAGGTGCACCTATGTTAACCCCAATTATCAAGTATGGCTACAGACAGGTGCACCTATGTTAACCCCAATTATCAAGTATGGCTACAGACAGGTGCACCTATGTTATCCCCAATTATCAAGTATGGCTACAGACAGGTGCACCTATGTTATCCCCAATTATCAAGTATGGCTACAGACAGGTGCACCTATATTATCCCGAATTATCAAGTATGGCTTGAACAGGTGCACCTATGTTATCCCCATTATCAAGTATGCTACAGACAGGTGCACCTATGTTATCCCCAATTATCAAGTATGGCTACAGACAGATGCACCTATGTTAACCCCAATTATCAAGTATGGCTACAGACAGGTGCACCTATGTTATCCCCAATTATCAGTATGGCTACAGACAGATGCACCTATGTTATCCCCAATTATCAAGTATGGCTACAGACAGGTGCACCTATGTTATCCCCCAATTATCAAGTATGGCTACAGACAGGTGCACCTATGTTATCCCAATTATCAAGTAGCTACAGACAGGTGCACCTATGTTATCCCCAATTATCAAGTATGGCTAACGAAGGTGCACCTATGTTATCCCCAATTATCAAGTATTTATCAGACAGGTGCACCTATGTTATCCCAATTATCAAGTATGGCTACGAACTGAATGCCTATGTTATCCCCAATTATCAAGTATGTACAGACAGGTGCACCTATGTTATCCCCAATTATCAAGTATGGCTACAGACAGATGTGCCCTATGTTAACCCCAATTATCAAGTATATTTTACGAACAGGTGCACCTATGTTAACCCCAATTATCAAGTATGGCTACAGACAGATCACCTATGTTATCCCCCAATTATCAAAGTAGCTACAGACGGTGCACCTATGTTATCCCCAATTATCAAGTATGGCTACAGACAGGTGCACCTATGTTATCCCCAATTATCAGAAATGTGGCTACAGACAGGTGCACCTATGTTATCCCCAATTATCCAAGTATGGCCACAGACAGGTGCACTATGTTATCCCCAATTATCAAGTATGACTACAGACAGGTGCACCTATGTTATCCCCAATTATCAAGTATGGCTACAGACAGGTGCACCTATGTTATCCCCAATTATCAGTATGGCTACAGACAGGTGCACCTATGTTATCCCCAATTATCAAGTATGGCTACAGACAGATGCCTATGTTAACCCCAATTATACAAGTTGGCTACAGACAGGTGCACCTATGTTATCCCCAATTATCAAGTATGGCTACAGACAGGTGCACCTATGTTAACCCCAATTATCAAGTATGGCTACAAACAGGTGCACCTATGTTAACCCCAATTATCAAGTATGGCTACAGACAGGTGCACCTATGTTATCCCCAATTATCAAGTATGGCTACAGACAGGTGCACCTATGTTATCCCCAATTATCAAGTATGGCTACAGACAGGTGCACCTATATTATCCCGAATTATCAAGTATGGCTACAGACAGATTACATATATTTAGCTATGTTGTTTCTCTTTAGTACGACTTGAACAGCCTTTTTTAATATTATTGTATGAACGTTTGTTAATGCGAGGAACGTTTTCCCTCTACATGGTGTCTAGGTTGTCTCACATGACCGTCATCCTGTTATTTTGGCATCTTATTCCAGGAGTGAAGAGTAAATGTTCTGCCTTGTGGTTACCAGCGTTTTCCTCCCACGCTTACCTCCGTTTGTATGATGGACCAGCATCCCTCTCACCCCTGTTGATGTATGAGTAGATGGACCAGCATCCCTCTCACCCCTGTTGATGTATGAGTAGATGGACCAGCATCCCTCTCACCCCTGTTGATGTATGAGTAGATTGACCAGCATCCCTCTCACCCTGTTGATGTATGAGTAGATTGACCAGCATCCCTCTCACCCTTGTTGTATGGGTAGATGGACCAGCATCCCCTCCCCTGTAGTATGAGTAGATGGACCAGCATCCTCTCACCCTTGTTGTATGAGTAGATGGACCAGCATCCCTCTCACTCCTGTTGTATGAGTAGATGGACCAGCATCGCTCACCCTTGTTTGAGTAGATGGACCAGCATCCCTCTCACCCTGGTATGAGTAGATGGACCAGCATCCTCTCCCCTGTTGTATGAGTAGATGGACCAGCATCCCTCTCACTCCTGTTGTATGATAGGTGGACCAGCATCCCTCTCACCCTGTTTTGGTGGATGGACCAACATCCCTCTCACCCTTGTTCTAGAGTAGATGGACCAGCATCCCTCTCCCCTGTTGTATGAGTAGATGGACCAGCATCCCTCTCACCTGTAGTATGAGTGGGTGGACCAGCATCCTCTCACTCCTGTTGTATGAGTAGATGGACCAGCATCCCTCTCACCCCTGTTGTATGAGTAGATGGACCAACATCCCTCTCACCCTTGTTCTATAGTAGATGGACCAGCATCCCTCTCCTCCTGTTGTATGAGTAGATGGACCAGCATCCCTCTCACCCCTGTAGTATGAGTGGGTGGACCAGCATCCCTCTCACTCCGTTGTATGAGTAGATGGACCAGCATCCTCTCACCCCTGTTGTATGAGTAGATGGACCAGCATCCCTCTCACCCCCTAGTATGAGTAGATGGACCAGCATCCTCTCACCCCTGTTGTATGAGTAGATGGACCAACATCCTCTCACCCCTGTAGTATGAGTAGGTGGACAGCATCCTCTCCTCCTGTTGTATGGTGGAAGCGGACCAGCATCCCGCTCACCCTTGTTGTATGAGTAGATGGACCAGCATCCTCTCACCCCTGTAGTATGAGTAGATGGACCAGCATCCTCTCACCCTGTTGTATGAGTAGATGGACCAGCATCCCTCTCACCCTGTAGTATGAGTGGGCGGACCAGCATCCCGCTCACCCTTGTTGTATGGTAGATGGACCCATCCCTCTCACCCCTGTTGTATGAGTAGATGGACCATCCCTCTCACCCCTGTTGTATGAGTAGATGGACCAGCATCCCTCTCACCCCTGTAGTATGAGTAGGCGGACCAGCATCCGCTCACCCCTTGTTGTATGAGTAGATGGACCAGCATCTCTCACCCCTGTAGTATGAGTAGATGGACCAGCATCCCTCTCACCCCTGTTGGCTGTAGTAGATGGACCAACATCCTCTCACCCCTGTAGTATGAGTAGGTGGACCAGCATCCCTCTCCTCCTGTTGTATGAGTAGAGCGGACCAGCATCCGCTCACCCTTGTTGTATGAGTAGATGGACCAGCATCCCTCTCACCCCTGTAGTATGAGTAGGTGGACCAGCATCCCTCTCACTCCTGTTGTAGAGGACCAGCATCCCTCTCACCCCTGTTGTATGAGTAGATGGACCAACATCCCTCTCACCCCTGTTGTATGAGTGAAGGACCAGCATCCCTCTCACCCCTGTTGTGTAGTAGATGGACCAGCATCCTCTCCTCCTGTTGTATGAGTAGAAGGACCAGCATCCCTCTCACCCCTGTTGTATGAGTAGATGGACCAACATCCCTCTCTCACCCTGTGGTATGGTGGGTGGACCAGCATCCCTCTCACTCCTGTTGTATGAGTAGAGGACCAGCATCCTCTCACCCTTGTTGTATGAGTAGATGGACCAACATCCCTCTCACCCCTGTGGTATGAGTAGGTGGACCAGCATCCCTCTCACTCCTGTTGTATGAGTGAAGGACCAGCATCCCTCTCACCCTGTTGTGTGAGTAGATGGACCAACATCCCTCTCACCCTGTAGTATGAGTAGATGGACCAGCATCCCTCTCACCCTTGTTCTATGAGTAGATGGACAGCATCCTCTCACCCTGTGTATGGTAGATGGACCAGCATCCCTCTCACCCTTTTCTATGGTAGATGGACCAACATCCCTCTCACCCCTGTAGTATGAGTAGATGGACCAGCATCCCTCTCACTCCTGTTGTATGAGTAGAAGGACCAGCATCCCTCTCACCCCTGTTGTATGAGTAGATGGACCAACTTCCTCTCACCCCTGTAGTATGGTAGATGGACCAGCATCCTCTACCCTTGTTCTATGAGTAGATGGACCAGCATCCTCTCCCCCTGTTGTATGGTGAACGGACCAGCATCCCTCTCACCCCTGTAGTATGAGTAGATGGACCAGCATCGCTCACCCCTGTTCTGAGTAGGTGGACCAGCATCCCTCTCACCCTTGTTCTATGAGTAGATGGACCAACATCCCTCTCACCTGTAGTATGAGTAGGTGGACCAGCATCCCTCTCACTCCTGTTCTATGAGTAGATGGACCAACATCCCTCTCACCCTTGTTGTATGAGTAGATGGACCAGCATCCCTCACCCCTGTTCTGGTGATGGACCATCCCTCTCACCCCTGTTCTGTAGTAGATGGACCAGCATCCCTCCTCCCCTGTTCTATGAGTAGATGGACCAGCATCCCTCTCACCCTTGTTGTATGAGTAGATGGACCAGCATCCCTCTCACCCCTTGTTGTATGAGTAGATGGACCAGCATCCTCTCACCCCTGTTGTATGAGTAGATGGACCAACATCCCTCTCACCCCTGTAGTATGAGTAGATGGACCAGCATCCCTCTCACCCTTGTTGTATGAGTAGATGGACCAGCATCCCTCTCACCCCTTGTTGTATGAGTAGATGGACCAACATCCCTCTCACCCCTGTTGTATGAGTAGATGGACCAGCATCCCTCTCACCCTTGTTGTATGAGTAGATGGACCAGCATCCCTCCACCCCTGTTCTATGGTAGATGGACCAGCATCCTCTCACCCCTGTTCTATGAGTAGATGGACCATCATCCCGCTCACCCTTGTTCTATGGTAGATGGACCAGCATCCTCACCCCTGTTCTATGGTAGATGGACCAGCATCCTCCTCACCCCTGTTCTATGAGTAGATGGACCAGCATCCCTCTCACCCTGTTCTATGAGTAGATGGACCAGCATCCCTCACCCTGTTCTGTAGTAGATGGACCAGCATCCCTCTCACCCCTGTTCTATGAGTAGATGGACCAGCATCCCTCTCACCCCTTATGATAGATGGACAGCATCCCTCTCACCCTGTTGTATGAGTAGATGGACCAGCATCCGCTCCACCCTTGTTGTATGAGTAGATGGACCAGCATCCCTCTCACCCCTGTTCTGTAAGTAGATGGACCAGCATCCTCTCACCCCTGTTCTATGAGTAGATGGACCAGCATCCTCTCACCCCTGTTCTATGGTAGATGGACCAGCATCCTCTCACCCCTGTTCTGTGAGTAGATGGGCATCCCTCTCACCCTTGTTTTATGAGTAGATGGACCAGCATCCCTCTCACCCTTTTTGTGTGAGTAGATGGACCAGCATCCCTCACCCCCTGTTGTATGAGTAGATGGACCAGCATCCTTCTCACCCTTGTTCTATGAGTAGATGGACCAGCATCCCTCTCACCCCTGTTCTATGAGTAGATGGACCAGCATCCCGCTCACCCCTGTTCTATAAGTAGATGGACCAGCATCCCTCACCCCCTGTTCTATGAGTAGATGGACCAGCATCCCTCTCACCCCTGTTCTATGAGTAGATGGACCAGCATCCCTCTCACCCCTGTTCTATGGAGTAGATGGACCAGCATCCCTCTCACCCTTGTTCTATAGTAGATGGACCAGCATCCCTCTCACCCCTGTTCTATGAGTAGATGGACCAGCATCCTCTCACCCCTGTTGTATGAGTAGATGGACCAGCACTCTCACCCCTGTTCTATGAGTAGATGGACCAGCATCCCTCTCACCCCTGTTCTATGAGTAGATGGACTAGCATCCCTCTCACCCTTGTTCTATGAGTAGATGGACCAGCATCCCTCTCACCCTTGTTCTATGAGTAGATGGACCAGCATCCCTCTCACCCCTGTTGTATGAGTAGATGGACCAGCATCCCACCACTTACTTTTACCGGAATGAATGTTTACGTGTGTTTGCGGCCACCACTGATTGTGTGTAGCTACAGCAACCCTGTCAAGTTAATAGTTAGGCAGTCCAGTCAGTGTTTAGGCTCGTGCCTCACTGTTCAAGCTCATGTGCCTTGTCTGTTAGTCTATTTCATAATATTCAAAGTACATGGAGAAACTTAGGTCTGTGTACTTTTATATTGAGTTCGGAGAGCTCTTTACCCAGTATTTATGTCCCTTAGTTCAGAATGACATGTCATTGAACATTATATATATATATAATATATATATATATATATGTACATGTATATATATATATATATATATATATATATATATATATATATATATATATATATATATATATATGTATATGTGTATGTATGTATGTATGTAACACTTTGTTAGGACCTTGACAACACCACACATATTTAATTATGAAACCGGTACTGTAACATGTTTGGAATGACGACAAATTTCTCTACATGACCTAAATCAGTGTGTACGTAAATGATGAGTGCTCTACACCGCTCGACCTGCGGGAGCTTTCATTCTACATCACTTGTCAAGGATATTTGTTATTGTTATAGTTGTTTTGGTGTGATTGTCAATACTGATAAGTTAATAATGTGGTTGACAGGTTTGTTAATGCCGCTCTATAAAGCTGGGGTAGTGCAAAATTCGTGTTTTGTTAACCCAGATTTATTAATATTTCACAGGTGACATCAGTATTGGAGGAAGGTATTATGCCTTTAGTAAAGCTTACTACGTCTTGTTTATTCGTATCCCTAAATACTATATAATGTGTAACCCTCCATCAATCAGTCCGCTTTGTTAACACACTTGGTCCCTCTACCCCTACCATGCATCCCCCAGGATGATGATGGTGATGATGTGGATGATGATGATGATGATGATGATGATCCTCCTGTAAGTAATTATTAACCAAATTGTAATTGTCGCACTGTATGTCAGTCCGTCCTTTTCAGGCCTTTGTCTTCGGTCCCATTTTCTGTTGTTCGGATTTGTTTGTTTTTAAATATATAATTTCTCGTTAGCTTCAACAACGTTATTTTTAAATCACATTAAACCGATTTTAAGTTGCATCGTGTGTTAGATTAATGTTATCACGCATCCCAGTTCTGTACTATTTTCCTATATTAAGTTACTCGGGTTTGTCCTGAAAAGTTTTTATTTAGTTAATTTTAGTGTAAGGTGGTTGTCCCTTAACCCCTCCCCCTCAACCCCCATCCTTATTGTTAATTACTACCTAAACAATTCACTGGCGGATTGTTAACTTCATTATAGCATGACGAGTAGGCAATTCATGTTTTATTATTAAAAAAAGTAGCACGAGTCTTATTTTTCATTAGTTTGTATTTTTTTTTAATTGTAAGACTTCTAAGTTAAGGATGCAGTAGTTAGTAAACAACTTTGTATAAAACCTCGCAGTAATGTTGTCAGTAACAAGTGTTGAGTGTATGTTGTGAGGACATCTGCTTACTTTCACGTGTGGTTGGGTAGGTGGGTTAGAGACCACCACCATCCTCCTGTGTGTGTGATCACTATCCTTCCACCTGTGTGTGTATATGTATGTATAACTCCCTCCCACCTTTGTGTGTGTGTGTGTGTGTGGGTGGTGGGGTCACTTCCTTCCTCCCACACAATGTGGGTGGTGGGGTCACCACCATCCTCCCACATAATGTGGGTGGTGGGGTCACCACCATCCTCCCACATAATGTGGGTGGTGGGGTCACCACCATCCTCCCACATAATGTGGGTGGTGGGGTCACCACCATCCTCCCACATAATGTGGGTGTTGGGGTCACCACCATCCTCCCACATAATGTGGGTGGTGGGGTTACCACCATCCTCCCACATAATGTGGGTGGTGGGGTCACCACCATCCTCCCACATAATGTGGGTGGTGGGGTCACCACCATCCTCCCACATAATGTGGGTTGTGGGGTCACCACCATCCTCCCACATAATGTGGGTGGTGGGGTCACCACTATCTTCCCACAATGTGGGTGGTGGGGTCACCACCATCATCCCACATAATGTGGGTGGTGGGGTCACCACCATCCTCCCACATAATGTGGGCAGTCTGGTCACCGCCATCCATCCACATATTGTAGGTGGTCGGGTCACCGCCATCCATCCACATATTGTGGGTGGTCGGGTCACCGCCATCCATCCACATATTGTGGGTGGTCGGGTCACCGCCATCCATCCACATATTGTGGGTGGTCGGGTGACTGCCACCCATCCACATATTGTGGGTGGTCGGGTCACCGCCACCCATCCACATATTGTGGGTGGTCTGGTCACCGCCACCCATCCACATATTGTGGGTGGTCGGGTCACCGCCACCCATCCACATATTGTGGGTGGTCGGGTCACCGCCACCCATCCACATATTGTGGGTGGTTTGGTCACCACCATCCCACATAATGTGGGTGGTCGGGTCACCACCACCCATCCACATATTGTGGGTGGTCTGGTCACCGCCACCCATCCACATATTGTGGGTGGTCGGGTCACCGCCACCCATCCACATATTGTGGGTGGTCGGGTCACCGCCACCCATCCACATATTGTGGGTGGTCGGGTCACCGCCACCCATCCACATATTGTGGGTGGTCTGGTCACCGCCATCCTCCCACAATGTGGGTGGTCGGGTCACCACCACCATCCCACATATTGTGGGTGGGCGGGTCACCACCACCATCCCACATAATGTGGGTGGTCGGGTCACCACCACCATCCCACATATTGTGGGTGATCGGGTCACCGCCACCCATCCACATATTGTGGGTGGTCGGGTCACCGCCACCCATCCACATATTGTGGGTGGTCGGGTCACCGCCACCCATCCACATATTGTGGGTGGTCTGGTCACCGCCATCCTCCCACAATGTGGGTGGTCGGGTCACCACCACCATCCCACATATTGTGGGTGGGCGGGTCACCACCACCATCCCACATAATGTGGGTGGTCGGGTCACCACCACCATCCCACATAATGTGGGTGGTCGGGTCACCGCCACCCATCTACATATTGTGGGTGGTTTGGTCACCGCTATCCTCCCACAATGTGGGTGGTCGGGTCACCACCACCATCCCACATATTGTGGGTGGGCGGGTCACCGCCACCCATCCACATATTGTGGGTGGTCTGGTCACCGCCATCCTCCCACAATGTGGGTGGTCGGGTCACCACCACCATCCCACATAATGTGGGTGGTCGGGTCACCACCACCATCCCACATAATGTGGGTGGTCGGGTCACCGCCACCCATCCACATATTGTGGGTGGTTTGGTCACCGCTATCCTCCCACAATGTGGGTGGTCGGGTCACCACCACCATCCCACATATTGTGGGTGGGCGGGTCACCGCCATCCCCCCACATAAGGTGGGTGGTCGGGGTCACTACCAGCCTCCCACATAAGGTGGGTGGTGGGATCACCAACCTTCCACATGTTTGTTGCTGTTATTCTCTGGAAGCTGTGGTCATTCTCTGATAACGAAAACCATCGACTTATTGCCATATTAGATTTCATTTTTATATAGGAGATAAGAGTTGTAGTGTGGCATATTAAGTACAGTATTGTGATGTTGTAGGATTATTGATAAGGAAACAGTTTGTGTACCTGAAGATGATCCAGACAGTTTACTCTCTTCTATACAAGATTACTGTACTTTTATCATGGAACAGCTAATTATGTTGATCATTAGCTCATTTACTTATAACGAATTATCCCATTAATATTATACTATACTCAGGGATTATCACATGCCAGTGATCATTGTAATGTGTGGGATTTGCATCTTACCAGTGATAACTGTTTTTTGTGGTAACCTTTGTAGATTAACCTAATGCAGTACTTTATCTATAACCAGTTAACTCGCCCTTACAGTTCTCTTATCAGTTAAAATTAAATTTATCTGGGATTGTTTTATTTTATTTTGATGGAACATGTCGAGGCAGAAGAAAGAACATTGTGAATACGAGTATACAGTATTCCTCTCATTCCTCTCTCTCTCTCATTCCTCTCTCTCTCTCATTCCTCTCTCTCTCATTCCTCTCTCTCTCATTCCTCTCTCTCTCTCTCATTCCTCTCTCTGTCTCTCATTCTTCTCTCTCTCTCTCATTCCTCTCTCTCTCTTCTCATTCCTCTTCCTCTCTCATTCCTCTCTCTCATTCCTCTCTCATTCCTCTCTCTCTCTCTTCTCATTCTCTCTCTCTCTCTCTCTCTCTCTCTCTCTCTCTCTCTCTCTCTCTCTCTCTCTCTCTCTCTCTCTCTCTCTCTCTCTCTCTCTCTTGTACAGTACTGTATTAATGTCTTATTTGTCTTGTCTAATTGCAACAAAATATGGATTATTAGAAGTAATGGAAGGGTCTTAGATTTTACCAAGTTAAAATGCTTCACTGTTTTGGTACTAGAATGTTGGCAGTTAATGTGTGTTGTTGTGTTTGTGTACCTGGCAGATGTGGGGTTTGATTCACAGTTTCATACACTTAATATTCCTTAAAACAGAAGATATGAGAATGCACGTATCTGATAGACATAATAATTAAGGACAAAAATATCTACCAAAACTTGTATAAATATTTTACTTTGACTAAACCATATGCATTTACTGTACTTCTACTCACTTAGGATGCAAAATATGTTGAGCAAATCGATTGGGTACGATCTTCAGTAATTTTGTGTCAAGTCAACTGCATTCTAACATCTTGACATGTGGGGAATATGCTTAATACAAACCATTATGAATTCAACCCCAGATGCTTAATCATGACGTAGAAAGTGGGTAATCGGTGGTTTAAAGTTATGTTTTTGATGAATTAAGTGATATGATATCTCTAGAAAAATTTTCATTCTTTTCTTCAGTGCCAGTGTACATAATTTGTTTGTTCCATATTGCATCAGTATTTGTACAGCTTCTTTACAGTTTCAGTTTAATTTCCTACAACTGAAGACCAAAGCACTGAAGTTTGCCTAGGTATTAAGTTTTCTAACTTTGTCAGTGTTTTATCATTTACCCATACAGTGCAATATAAATTTTGTTGTTGAACTCTTAATGTTCAGAAAGTAATGGGAGTCACTATTGACACTGGTTTGAAACATTCCTGTCAAGTTGTAATTCGGCTTTTTTTGCCAGCCTGTACAGTAGTCATGTTAAACTTGACTTGATGTCTCATATTCTTGTCCATGGCTCTTGGTGATCTTATACATGGTTTAGTTTTGTTTTTATCATTGACCATCACTGATCATTATGGAATTTTTTGCCACTTAAAATTGTTTTAGTGTATTAAGCCTTTCTTTCAGAATCCAGTAGTTGCTTCACCAGATTAACAATGAACCACCTTGGGGGTACTGTCATCCCAGCTGGTGACACCTCACCTCTCAGAGGCTTACACCAAATACAATATTTCCCATTTCTTGCAACCATTGCCTAAATTTAAAAACTAATCAAAATGACAGAATTTCATAAGTACTGTACCCCATCCCTGATAATAAGCTGTTGCTTAAAATTCACCAAAATAGGCAGCATTCTGCAGCTTTATAGTGCACCTGTGTCCGACTGTCCGTGGTCTCAGCATGGTGGACCCATTCAGTGGTGTCACATGTAGCCCACTTGTTGTTTTACCAGCCTTCTGCTCCCATACTCTTGACAATGGAGGTACTTGAGGGGTTGAGATTATCATATTGTCCTTTGCTACTGATACCGTAGTTTGAATGGAACACCACTAACAACCATTGCAGATGTATGGCCGGGGTAATTTAACCCCTGTAGTTACACTATAGCTTGAGGCTTTTAATTGTATAATTCCAGTACTGTACAGGTAGTCTAAATGTAGAAACTTCCTCTATACTGTTCTATACACTTGAAAAGAAATTGAAAGTTATAACATGAGCCTCTTTTGTGATCCATCATGTGTGCAGTACTGTAGTGGGTTTAGATTTACGAAATTTTGGTTATCGAATTAGCCCCCATAAGGATTTTCAGTTCGATTAACGAACAAAACTTCGATTCACAAAATCCCTACGACAAACACGTTTTGTTGTGCGCATCAGCTGATCGGCTAGTCTGCCAATACTGTACAGTAATTGGTTCTATGTTTACATTCGTTTCCATGAAGTAAATATCAAGAAAGTTGGTCTCTTGAATATTTCTGCATTTTTTATTTTAAAATTACTGTATTGGTCAGTCTGAAATTTAGTTAACATATTAATAATATATATACAGTACAGGGAACAGTTTTTGTGCACCCATCAGCTGATTGAATCGCCCAACAACGCTTCTCAGTTTAACTTTGTTTACAGTGGAGTGAACATCGATTTTGTTGATCTCCTGAATATTTTTGCATTTTTACATTAAAATTATTGGTCATTCTGAAATTTAGTGAACTTATTGATAATATACAGTGCAGAAATTATTATGAAACATGAAGAAGGCATTAGAACCAATGCACTCTGTAAAGAATATGGCATGTCATCATCGACTGCCTCTACAATCAGCCGTTTGATATGTAAATAAAGCTGCCGTTAATACGACATACACACCTCAAAGTAAGTTAAAATACAGTACATTATTCTATTGTTTTTTATTTATTGTACAGTACAGTATACTGTACAGTACAGTACAGTACTATATTTAGTTTATATTTAATGGTTTGTTAATTCTATTACTGGTATACAGTAATTTGTATGGTACGTACTTTTTCTGTGAGTTGGAACCAATTACCCAATATCCCATTGAAATAATAGATTTGGTTAATGAAATTTTTGGTTAACGAACGACTCTGTGGAACAAATTGTGTTCGTTAACCGAGGGACCACTGTATAACTGTTCTGTATTTACTTAAGCCTGTGATCCATAGATCTTTCTTGTTGAGGTTAGTACAGTACTGCATGTAAACACTGTATTACATCCACTTGGTGCCCCTTGGCAGGTAGTAATCAATACGTCTTAATAGCTGTCTTTGTTTGTAGGCATTAATTATACCTGTATAGCCAATTGCTTGGTTATAGTGACAGAAATTTACTAAAATCATTGCCAAACTATTTATGATGCCACTGCCATAGTTGTTCCCATGTGGAGCCTGTGATGACTGTTGACACTGTACCATAGTTATCTCCATGTAGATGTGTGATGACTGTTAGCACTGTACCATAGTTATCACAATGTAGATCCTGTGAGAGAAGGGTGGTGATATAGTTGTGGGCGTGCATCTAAATTACTTCATTCATTCAGGATCTAGAAAACCCTACTCACAAATAGGGATTCAGTTGTAGTTACTGTAAATAACTCTGATTTTGAAATATCTCCACAAAATAGTTGATTCGTAATTACTCTTATACTGTACCATTTCTCAATTTTCAACCACTTATTTGATAAAAGTCCTCCTTGTTTTGTGGGCAAGTTGAAGGTTATCCTTTCCATGGTAAGGATATTAAAACAATGAGAATGCTGTACAGTATTATTGGATTCAGACATTGTTTTTCATTTTCACAATTGCAGTTTGGGAAGTGAAGAACAAACTTAATCCTGTATTGTACAGTCAAAGAAAAGAGTTACTGGGTATGTTACACTTACTTTGCCTTATGTTCTGAGACACAAGACAATGAATTTGGGTACAGTTCCCCGTTCTGACTTGAACCTCGAAGCTTCGCTGTCACTTAACCTTAATTTCTGTGTCTTGGGTTTCAGAACATAAGTACATTGCCAGGTTGTATGATGAAGTAGGAGTATCTCTTCCTGCTAGTATACAGTATTGAATTTGTATTTCTTCATATTTTTAACTGCATTTCCTTCCATTTGTTAGGGGTTTGTTTACACAATGTCCTATTTTATAGTGTGGTACAGTATATATTATATTACTGGTTTTATGCTTGATAGTTCAGTATTCTGGTAAAAATATGTCCCTTTATTGGTGCTGTTTTATATTTTCCCCTCTCCACCCAACCACCCATTTTTTCAACTTGTGTTCAGACTGATTCTTAACACCTCAGTTAATGGGTTTCAATTTTAAATACGAGTACAATACTGTACTTTATTTGTTTGCATTATACATACAGTATACTGTACTATACTATAATATATGATAGGCTATATGCAATTGTATTCAATATTATTATATTTTGTAAAGTGCATTCTGTATACATCATTGTATTTTATTTAGTACAGTATATATATCATCTGCAGTATAGAAGATGTACTGTATTATATGCAGCATACATTATTAGGGATGAATATTGACCCCTTAAAAAACAAAACAATATAGAATTCCCTTACTGTGAAACATTAACTATGATGCATTCAGTGTTTGTTTCTTCCCCTTCATGTTTTGCATGATATGAGTTTGTTTGCAGATACAATCAGTACAAACTAATGCAATAATTAACAACATACTACTGCATATCATACTAGCAACTTCCTTGCAGCAGTTGTAACTTTTCTCTTTGATATTTGGGAAGTAAATGAACATATTGTATGTCAGCGATTTTGGAATACCCTGTAGTGGTTTACGCTTCTATAAATTATTAGTGGAAAAAAACCCTGTAAACCCTGTGTTAATATGTGAAGTTAAAAGTCGAGGCCCTGTTCCATCGCAGTTATTAAATTTCACCACTTATACGCTATCAAAATTGAGAAAATTAACTTATGCTTGCCATGTAATAATTATAAGGGAGTAATCTATGCACTGATTCAATGGCATACCCTGGTACTGTACACCCCTTACAGTATACAGTACTCGTAATTGTGTTTTGTAATATTCTATATAAAGTGAGCTGATTAGAAGAAGTGGGCCTAATTGTGGAATTTCCAAATTTTACACGAAGCATTTCCTCATGCAAAAAAATACTGTACAGAATGACTATTTTAAGTACAGTTTGTATTTTCGGCCATATTTTAAGTGTTTTTATGCATACAAATTCCTCTACAGGAAAAACGATTACTGTACTGTATATGAGCTGGCTTGTTTGTACCCCCCCTGAGGCTGAGATGTAATATGTGATGGATGCTTCAGTGTACAGTATTAGCAATGCCTGTATGATTATGCAGTCATTATAATTTTTCACCACTACAACCTGCCACTTGCCAGGTGATGCAATAGTGAAATCTTCACACAAAAATTCAGAAATAGTACACTAAAATTTTTTTTACCATATTATACAATAAAGACTTGTGTGCAGAATGTCAGTTAACAATGGACTCACTATTTCCTGGGGTTAGCCACATTCCATGTAAACATTTAAAAATTATGTATACTAACTCAGCAGACAATCATTTATTTTTGTCTGTGGTGTCGGTAAGAACTGTGTAAACCAGACTTTTTTTTTTTTAAGAATTCAAATGAGTCAGGCGAGGTCCAGTTAACCAGGTTTTTTATTCAGTGAAGTCAAGTTTAATGGAGGTTTACTATAGTACTGTATATGTGAGGCATGTGAAAAGTGTTTGTGTGTGAAGTTTGGTGAGGAGTGTCAAGCCTGTGATCAGCTAAGGCTTTGTGTTGGTGTCATTGACTTTTGTCCATTTTGAAAAGTACTGTATTGTCTACATTTTCCAACCATTGATATACCAAGGTGGAGCTGGTGTGCAGCCACAGCAATGGTCTTTAATTGAGGTTGTCCTGCCTTTGAGTACAACTAGCTCCCTGGATGATGCAGACTTAAGTCCTTTGTTTTATACATTAAGGAAAGACAACTTTCGAAAATTTCTTTTATTAATATGTAGTGTATAGGTAAGTTTCAATTACCTTTATATATATTATGAAGACCTTTTCTGGCTTTCCAGTTAGAATGTAGAGATATATAATAATACTCTATGCTAACATTAACTTAAACAAGTGAATGTTTAATTAAACTGCATGTGTATTACCTTCTCATTAAAAACTTTGGTTTGTTTGTGTGTCCATGTAATATGTGTACTGTACAGTATTATAGTGTTTGATGTATGCAGTACAGTAGTACAAGTACCTGTAAAGCTTTGAAACTATACTGTATTGCTATATTTTTTCTTTTCACTTGATTACATACTTCATGTCTTGGTGTGAAAAGCATTTTTGAAAGGAAATTTTTCTTAATACTGTACTATATTTATTTTTTATTGGGGGGGGGGATAATTCTGTTCAAATGAAATCCATGCATGGAATAACATAGTGTTATTGGTTCACAGTATTCCCGGCAGTCACAGATCACCCAGCCTGCAGCAGCACCAGTCACAAGAAGCAAAGGTTGGTATGATCTGGCATTATTGATACAGTACATATACAGGTATTCTGATATTGTTCATTTAATAAATCTTAGCCTTGTATGGGTACTGTATATGTGTTTAGAATTTAGAAATAAAGTAAATAAAAATAAAAATGTGATGAAATAACCAATGCTTCATGTTGTAGGTTATAAGATTTTTTATGAAAAAATCTTCCTCATTCTGTAGACAATTGTAGTATTTCTCCTAGCCATGTTTGGTCAAATGTTTTGGGCATATCATGGTGTTGGAGTTGGACTGGTTTAGGATTGTGGGCATATCATGATCTTGGAGTCAGACTGGTTTTCTTCCTGGATAGAATTGTTGAATGAATGTTTTAATGCAATTTTTCTTCTTCAGTGCCACTGGCTGCAATACCAGATAATTTGCCTACTGGTAATCAATGAATCAATTTTTTTCCTCAGATGTGAACAGACCCCGCCCTAGCTACCTTGTGAAACCACCCCAGAATGGAGAACTCCGATCAAATTTGCAAAACAAGATTGGCCAAGCACCTGCCAGATCCACAGAAAATATTTCTACATCCACTGTGAGCAAAGCCTCATCTGTACCAGCTTGTGAGTCTTAACCTTGTATCGTGCTGGTTACAAGTGATAAACATTATGGTGACAGTAAACAAAAACACGCATGTTTCACATGCACGCACACACGCACGCACGCACACACGCACACACACACACACACTTGTCATGAAATGTTCAGTGCAATTTTCACCCTTTTTCTCAAGACTTTCTATCTTGCCTTGGTTATTATACTCCACCTTGATGAAATTTCATATGAATTATATTTAAATATTTTTAATATATGTACAGTAATTGCAGTGTATGTTTCCATAAATGAAAATATATATTAGTCAGGTAGACAGCCAGCCAAACTGTAAATGTGCATACTAATGCAATTATTCTGCTTAAAGAGGTACTGTAGTTGGACCTGCATGCACCAAGAAAATGATAGGTGCTACTCTTGCACTATTGAGCATTTTTTGGCATACCTCACTGAGTTTGGCCAAATTTTAAAGTTTGTATATTAATAAATTATAAATATTGTACACTTGTACAGTATTTGCATTTTGAAATAGTCATCCCTTGGTTATAGCGTACTTGGTTATCGCGATTTTCGTTATCACGCCTCCATCAAAATCTGCATACCTGCTGTTATAGCGCATTTTTCAAGCTGAGAATTTCGTTATCACGCATTTGCCTCCAGGTGTTTTTACCTATTTGCTTCACCTACATCGATTGAGGCTAAAATCTTTCACCTACAAATTGACAATACCACATTTGCTGTAATCATACATATCTAAGTTGCCTCAACAATTGCAACCCCAGTTGCAATTTCAAATTCTGTGTCATTACTAAGGCATAACGAAGTCTTGGGTGCACACTAAGATTGAGAGAAAACGGAGGACTCGGGCATCCTGAAGCGATGAGAAAACAGACTCCTCAGACGTGGGACTCAAATAAAGAAAGCATAGCTTCATGTTTTGTGGACTACAGTATTGAGCGTACCCTTTTCATCACTTTGTAATAAACCTAGCCATGCCTCTGTGTGTTTCTGATACTTACCATAACATTATCTATATCTTAAGTGGGTCTAAATGGTCGTAAAATGGGAAAATTGGGGTTGGGTCTTGGGTGCCTGGAACCAAGTAGAATAAATCCCATAGGCTCTGTACTTTCGTTATCGCGTTTTTCGTTATCACGCACTCGGCACGGTCCCAATTAGGCGTGATAACCAAGGGATGACTGTACCTGTATACTAAGGCCATGAGATGATTGAGTTAACACATGTTAAAGATGCCACTACAGTTGTGATATTTCTGAGTTTCAACATTTTAAAGAGTTGATACAAACTTAGACTAGAGTGTGGCATTTTTATTGCAAATGTAATGGTATACAGTCAACCCTCACTTTACGCGGTTAATATAACCCACAGGGTACCGCGGAAAGTGAGAAATGCGTAAAGTGAACATAACATAACATATGGGATTAATTGAAAGAGTCCGGGCCGACCCCCAAACTCCACTTTTTGACGACACACAACTATGTTGTAGTAAAAATTTTATCTTAACTTTATGATGGTATGCACAAACAATTAATGTAGAAGAGGTTAGGTTAGGAAAAATAAAGGTTAATAAAAGTTAGGTTGAACACTTACGTTAGTAGAAGAGATGGGTTGGCATACGGGGATGGAGGCTGGTTCCGAGGCAGAGGGCAGGCTACTGGCCCTCAGGTGAGTCACCATCACTGTCATCCACACTTGTCAGGGCCTCCCTGACAAATCCCTCAGTCATCTTCACTGTCTCTACCTCTGTCACTATCACTGGCTTGGGCTGGCTGTGGTGGGTTGCGGGCGAAGAACTCGGTTATGCTTTGCTGATGGCTGGTGTTTATGTTGTCGTGATAAACCTTGAAGTAGGGCTCCATAGTCTGCAACAGCTGGGTAGTGAAGATTTCATACCTGTTTGCGTCAGGGTCGTCGGAAAGGAGCAGCTTGATTTTCTCAACACACTCGATGGCACCCCTAACATTACTATGGGATAAGCGGTGTTCTTCTTGGGATGACGCACCACCTGCCTCTTCACTGACGTCATCATCATCTACCATCTCGTCGGTAGTCACATCAGGATCCCTTATCACCTCCAGGATGTCGTCATTAGTGGTCTCGGAGAAGCCTGCAGCTGTAACACTCTGCGCAGCTTCTCTGGCAAGGTCCACTGCTACTGCAACAGTCTGAACCTCACCAGTCAGATTGACTGCCTTACGCCCGGAATGCCTTGCAACACATGTCTCCATGCGTGACGAACAGTTGCTACAGACATCTGATCCCATGCCTCCACCAAGAAGTCCACAGCTTTCTTGATGTTGAATATTCTCCAGAATTGTTTGAAAAGTATTTTTTGCTCTGCCAACTGTTGATCCTCGTCGTCTTCGCTCTTGCTATCGGTGGTGGTGTCACTCAGGTTACGCAACTCTTCCCTGGTGTTGGTGTAGTCGTTCAGGAGCTTGAATTTTTTTGTTGAGAATGCAGCTTTTACATTACAGATTAACTCTTGGTCCATGGGCTGTAATATAGACGTAGTGTTGGGAGGAAGGAAGACCACTTTTACGTTGGGGTGACGATCTAACAGTAGGGGCGGGTGTCCTGGTGCGTTGTCCAGCAGCAACAAAATCTTGAATGGCACATTCTGTTGCTCACAGAATTTCTTTACATCGGGAACGAAACAGTCATCAAACCAGGAGAGGGACAGTGTAGAGAACATCCACGCCTTACGTGCGGTCAGCCAGTGGACATTTAGCTTGGTCATGACCATGCTCTTGTAGGCGTGCGGCTTGCGGGCTGTGTGGATCACCGATAACTTGAGCTTACAGGTACTGGAGGCATTGGTGGTAAACAGGACGGTGATGCGCTTCTTCTGCAACTTCCGGCCCCGAATCTTGCTGGCATTCTTCACAACGAAGGTCTTGGAAGGTAGCTTTTTCCAAAAAAGACCAGATTCGTCCATGTTAAACACCTGGTCGTCGGTGTACTGTCCTTCCTCCATAATCTCACGTAAAAACGGAGGAAATTCCCTAGCCGCAACACGGTCAGCACTAGCTTCTTCACCACCAATGTTGATATTGGTGATCTTGTTCCTCATCTTAAACCTCTGTAACCACCCAGAGGAAGCATTAAAGGGTTTGGGCTCTGTAATTCCCATCTTTCGTGACACTGCAGCATACAGTTCACGTGCGTACTCCTTAACAGAGCGCGTGTCGACCGCCATGTTCCGTCGCGCCTGACGCACCAAGTAGCTCACAAGTAATTTTTCCGTCTTGAGAAGCACCTGGTTGTGGAAATACTTGATCATAGAAGCACCTGTAGACTGTGATCTTCATATGCTCCTTTATCTTGGCTGCATCCTTCTTTATTGTCCGGATCGTAGATTCGTTCACACCATGCTGGCGTGCCAAATCAACCTGTCTTGTTCCTTTCTCTAACTCTTGGATGATCTTGTACTTCACCTCGTAGCTTAAGGAATGTTGTGTCTTCTTGGGCTTAGGGCGGCTGGGTCCAGGCAAGGAAAGGTTTCTCTCTGGGGGCGGTGGTCCGGCGGAAGCCATTTTACAGAACAATGGATGCACGATTACATGGTGTGGCCTGGAGGGATGAAACTGCTGTGGCTAGGTCAAGCGTCGTCTTTCCTCCCTCCCTCCCTCCCCCGGGTGGACACGTCATATTACTTTAAACCAATTACAGCTAGCAGCGGAGGGAGGTAGGGATGCATGGCCAATCACAGTCCGATACGTCATATGACGTCTGATAACGCAACAGAGACATGCAGTGTGCAACCTTACCGCGTGGCTTGCCCAGGCGGAGGAGGGAGCAGGCGGGTGGGGCGAATCTAAAAATAGCGTCGAGCCGGACACACTCCGCGTAAAGGGGTACACGCACCGCGGAATGTGAGCATCCTGGGTTCCGGCAGGGCACCGCGTAAACGTGGAAACGCGGAATGTGGGACCGCGTAAAGTGAGGGTTGACTGTACAGTATTGGGTTTCTGTCCTCAGTTTGGAAACAGGAACATTGGATGCAGCAAAAAGTAGCTTAATAAATTGCTAAATATTTCTTAAATATTTTGTTTTAAAGATGGAGGAATACAGATTAGATACAGTCATAAATGCATGCAAGAATAGAGACTACATTGTTCCTTTAGAATTGATAACTACTGTATTAGAAATTACATTTTTGGTAACAAACTTTTAATATGTACTCAGAACCTTAATAGTATTATTTGTTATTGGTGGGCATCTGTTCCTGTTGTAGGGCGAGGGATAGCTGTTGCTGTAGGTTCTTTAGGTAAGTTTGAATGGTAACTTAAAGTAGGTGATATAATATTTTTCATATAATAATTATCAAACTAGAAATTTCAATATCCATAGCAGAATGATGTGTGTAACATCATCTTATATGTTAAAAATTACTGCATAACGTTGGGGTGTGGTGGCTGAGTGGATATAGCATTCGCCTCCTGTCCTAAGGGTTGCTGGTACTTACCCTGAGCACCCCTAGTCAACCCAACTGTGAATGGGTACCTAACTTTATAGTTGGGGAAGTTAAGGTGGTTGTGTTCAGTACCAGCCACACTGACTCCTTGTGAACCAAAAGATTTATATTCAGTGTGCTGTATCTGCACTGCACCTAATGGACTGTCATGTATAGTGTCACATTTACTTTTGTCTTGTGTACATACATCCTCTTCAACTGTTTTGCCTCACTTGGATTTCCAAATTCTCCCCTCATTCATTTAAGGATGTACAGTACAAGGGAGTTAAATTACATATTCTTTCCCTATAATTTTACCACCGGTTTTTCTTGGACTGGTGGTTACTCTTGTAGATCTTTTAAATGAAATGGCAATTTTTACTATACAGTATATGAACCACTGAAAACAAGAATTAAACTAATATAGCAAAATCTTCTAATACATTTTAATATTTAATTGGACAATTATTCCTATTTAGCATCACATACACATTAAAATTCATTTATGGTTAATGAGCTGTTTAACATGTGATCCTACACCCTATGGTATAGCCTTTCTTGTTCATGGGCCTGTCATTGTTCTGGAGGCCTGGGCAAAATCCTTTTTGATCACTGTAAATGCTGTATAATTAGCCTTTTCCCCAGTTGAAACACCCATAGTCTATGAAACAAATTCTAACCCCAATGTAATGTGTGGTGATTGCTTCACACCTAGTGCTATGAGTTATGCATAGATTTTTACACCTGTTGTTACATAGGGAAAAGCACTTCATGACTTTGGTTTCACTGGGTCAGGGGTTAAGGTAATGTTGCTAAAACTAGACTTTGGTGTTTGAACAACAACTCAAATTCCCTTGCTGTGATGAACATATTTCTGTAAATAGGTAACATTAAATTCTCTTAAACTTGATTTTGGTCTAGTCTTAAAGTTCACAGGTCAATCACCACTGGTAAAAATAGATTTGCCATTTCATTATTATAATGTAGGCATGTTATTGGTCTAGCTTTTAATATGTAATGGAAAGTAGTAAGTTTATTAAAATCCTTACATTAAGAATAAGATGATACTGTATAGTATACAGTATGTACTTGTGTTTTATGACATCCCGAGCAATACTCAAGTGTGAAGTGCTTCAGGTTTGTGTTTCCTTTATTGGTTGTACAGTCTTCTTCATGGTAACCTACGACTCCCACCCTCATAGTTTGTTGAGTGTAATTTTCATCCACTAAGTATTTGTATACTTTCTTGGAGATGACTTTAAACATTTGTAAATACTCCCATAGTAACATACAATTGAAGGAGATTCCTAGCCACTTTTTTTTTTTTAATATACATCGTCAGAATCTGTGATGCTATACATATGATTGAACTCATTTAAATGATGTTCCCTTACTGTAGGTGGCAGTTGGGGGAAGAAAACTAATCATAATTCTAATGGTGGAGAGTTTTTACCAGAATATTAGTACAATATTATTTATTTGCCATAATAAATTAAGTAAATATGTTATATATTACAGTAGTAAGGTTAATATTGCCAGGTATGTTCTATGGGATGTAAGGTGTATTTTCATTTACATTTAATAGACCAAAATATTTCACTTTTTATTGGGAAATTGTATTATTTGAGACAAGTCACACTTGGGAGTCTTCATTGTCATATCTTCTCTGAAGTCTGTTACACATTCCTGCCCTCATGGGAATGTGTTACGTAGATAGTTAATTGACAGTTAATAACCACAAGAAAAAATCTTCCATTCTCTGATTTGACATATATCCAACTTGTAGACATACAGTATTAGATATTTTTATGGTTTATAATAGTAAAGTAATAAAAAATTTTCTTACATCAGGAATCTCCACTTGAACAATTTATAATATTTTGTAAGCATACCAAAGCAGTTGTTAATAACAATCATGTATTAATAATAAACTATTTTGAAAGAAAGCCACATGTACTTTTCATGACAAATGATTTAAATGATTTATAGTGTACTGTAGTACAGTACTTGCATAATTTATAGTTAGTATCAATAATATCAATATTCATTGAATAATGTCATTTTGGGTTACTATTAGCTCGGCGCCGAAGTAATGTGGTGAAGGAAGTGGATCGTATTCAGAAGAAACGAGAGGAACGTAGAAAACAGCAAGCGGAGAAAAAAGAAGAGAAAGAAGCACTAATGAACCTCGACCCAGGAAACCCTCAGTGGGAGTTTCTCAATATGATTCGAGAGTTCAGGTGGGTGAAGAAAGTATTTATAATTTATTTATTCAGTGTGAGTATTGTACAAATTTCATGTTTTTTCTTATTTACTTATTTATTTTGTATCTATGATGTAAGGGTTCAGGTGAAGAAAATATGCCCTTGATATAGGAGAGATCGATATGTGAATAGTTTTCTGAAACAAACTCGCATAGCTGTATCAAGGATGCCTGTACAGTATGTACAGTACTCTACAGTGTAAAGTTCAGACACTATAATGTCATGTAGAGAAATACAGGTATCCCTCAGTTTGCAAAGGATTAATTTATGGATGATTTTCTTGACTGGAACCCTTGTACAGTACAGATCAAGGGCTAGCTGTGTTTTCTTTTTTGTTGTTTGTTGTAAAACTTTTACCTTTAATGGTAACTTGCATATCCCATTTCCAGGGTAACAAGATGATATTGTGACTACAGGTCTGAAGCTAGGTTAAATGTATTATATCTACTGTATGTAATATGAGGTGATGGTAGAAAATAACATCCTGTGTAGTGACATAGGAATTAGGCAATTTAAGATAAGTAAAGCAAGACTGAAGTGGTGTGAGGAAATTTTGCTACTGTAATATGTGTGGAAGAATCATTTATGGACAAAGTGTGTATGAGATGTTATAGGTTAGGAAAATATTTAATTAGTAACAGGATATTGTACAGTAGGTAAATAGACTAACTAGAGACCATTTAAAGTGGTGGTTGATTATAATAATCAAATCCCTTTTACAGTGGTGGTGGATTATATTCAAATCCCTTTTACAGTGGTGGTAGCTTATAATGACGATCATTTTTAGTAATCCCTCACCAACCATAGGAGAATTCTAGAACACAACCTCATCAGTTGGCTGGCGAGGGATTACTTTATACATTTATATATAGAATTGGAAGGAATGAAAGTTGTGTGTGTGGGTCAGATTATTTTAGTGAACGTTATCGATACATTGTAAAACTCCAAGTTCATGTACAGTAACGTAGAAGTCTTGTACATAAAAACAATAGCAATAGGTCACTTCATGAGAGAAAGATCATCTGGGGAGTGAAGTGACCTTATAGGGATCCCAAAAGCAGGGAATTGTGTCAGCAAAATGTTAAAAAACAAGGAAGATAGTGTAAGGAAGTCTGATTCCTCTATAACAAGCGTGATGTGACGAGACACTGACAATCACATTTAGTTGGCTACTCGGGCACTAGGTGCACTGTCGCAGACACAGTCTGCTATGTTTACAAATTATAACAAGTGCATGATAACTCAAACTTTTAATTCTTTATTAACCTCTACACAGCCACACATGGCACCAGCTGTGTGCCTGGTGTCTGCTGCCAACAGCATTTGCTGTATTAGTCTACATTAAAAAAAATATTTCTAGCAGCACAATATTTTAAAATTTTAATTACTATTGGACCTTGACTGCATATCCTACAGATCCACATCATATCCACTAAACATCCACATCTCCATTAAATACCCACAACAGTCATTGAGGTTTATATAAAAATCATAAGTTTTCTGTTTTTGTATGCAGTGGGGGGGGAAAGACATTTTAGGCTATTTCTTTTGCATTAAAAGTAAATTTTTTTTATAGGTTGCAATTTATTAATTTATTTATATATTTATTTATATGGAAGGTCAAGCTATTCTGAAGCTAGAATTATGAACTTGATTACAAATAATAATTCCTTGGTCTGAATGCTGTTTCTAAAAAAAAAAAAAAAAAGTGTTTATGAAGGGTACAACACAGTGGGAATGAAAACCAAGATTTCCCTCAAATAAGATGGAAAAGTAAAGTCATTATTATAATGACTGTAATATGTTTGAATACAGTTCTGTAAAGTATTTGAAATAATTGAGGAGGGGTTTAGTAGAGGGTTTGGTATACAGTATAACGAATTCATTCGGTATAGATAGGTAATAATGGAATCTGAGGAGAGAAGAGGTATACAGTGATCCCTCGGTTAACGAGCACAATCCGTTCTAGAAGGTTGCTCGTTAACCGAAACCATTGTTTCAATGGGTTTTTGGGTAATTGGTTCCAGCTCACCGAAAATTGCCTAAATTAAAAAAAAAAAGGTAGAAAAGTACTTACTTTGAGGTGTGTATGTAGAAGGCTCCTGGATGATGATAATGATGATGGGAATTAGAATGGGGGTGGAGGAGAAGGGAGAAGAGAAGGCATTGGGGTGGAAGGGAAGTCACCCCATGGCGCCATTTCACCCATAAAATTTTAGTTAACTTGGTGTAATTCAAGATTATTTTTTTTAAATCAACACTGCACTGCATTATATATTGTCAATACAGTCAACCCTCGCTTTACGCGGTCCCACTTTACGCGTTTCCACGTTTACGCAGTACCCTGCCGAACACGGAATGCTCACTTTCCGCGGTGTGTGTACCCTTTTACGCGGAGAGCGGCGCGAGCAGGGTGCGCACAAGGTCGCCCAGTCATCGAAACATTACCGAGTTCTTCACCCACCACAGCCGGCCCAAGTCAGTGATAGTGATAATGATAGTGAGGATATGCACTTATATGGACTTTGAGGGGTTTGACAAAGAGGCCCTGCAAGCCTCTGTGGTGGATAGTGATACAATTTATACAAGTGAGGGCCAATAATCTGCCCTCTGCCTCGGAACCAACCTCCCCCCCCCCTCCCATCCCCGTGTGCCCAGCCATCTTTTCTACTAATGTAAGTGTTAAAAAACCTATTATTGATATTTCTCTTAATTATTAATTGCGTGTGCATACCATCATAAAATTAAGAAGTTATTTTTTCTACAACGTAGGTATTGTGTCTGAAAAAGTGGAGTTTGGGGGTCGGCCTGGTCTCTATTTCAATTAATCCCATATGTTATGTTGTTCACTTTACGCGGGCCGCCGTGGGTTCAATTGACCGCGTAAAGTGAGGGTTCGCTGTATGTAAAATAAATTTCAAAATGACCAATAATTTGCTTGCAAACACAGAAAAAAAGCATTTAGTTGAAGAGTCTCAAGCAAGATGTTACCTCCACTGAAAAGACAGAGAAACTGGCGCCTGTTTGCTGTGTTGACAGGCTGGATGGTGCGCATAAAACTAGTTTCCTTACCTTCAATTATGTTGAATAATTGTTAAAATGACTAAAAATTTAATATTAAACTTTTAAAATTATTGAATAGTATAAACTTCTTGATATTTACTAAAATGGTAAGGAATATAAGCCCTAGAACTGATTACCATATTGGCGGACTAATACTACAGCTGGAGGACCGCCAAATGCAAGCGAAAACATGTTGAGGTCGGCTCGTAAGAAACTCGTTAATCGAGGGATTGCTCGTTAACCGAAGTTTAGAATCTTGTGGAAGGTAACTCGTTAACTGAGGGACCACTGTATACTTGTAGATGTTCATTATAGAAAGGTAATACTGTAGTGTAGACTGTAAAGTTTCTATAGATGAGTGAAAAACTGTGTTTGCCTCCAGAACAGTAGCTTCATGTCTGGGTATGTATTTATCAATAATTTTTTTTATAAAATTCACAAGTGTTGTTAACCACTTAAGGTCAGGGTCCCCTCTGCTGAATAAAATTGTCTGGTGTTAGGTAAATAAAATCTTAAAAGTGGCTCCCCATAGTGAAGGGGTTAATGATGCCTCAGATAAACTAATTTGAATTTATTTTCAGATCACAGCTAGAATTTCGAACACTGAAAGATGGTGATCCTCTAGAAGAACATCAAATTACAGTTGCTGTCAGAAAGAGACCACTTAACAAAAAAGGTAACTAAATACAGTAAACCCATGATATAATGGATATCTAGATCCTGAATAATAATGGACTCTTGTCTTTTATATACCAACATAGTCTGAAGTGATCACTTGGGTCACTTTTCACCACCAGCATTCCTCATCATCATCACCAACAATCACTATCATTACCAACAGCACTCATCACCAGCACTCATCATCACCAGCACTCATCACCAACACTCACCATCATCACCAACACTCACCATCATCACCAACAGCACTCATAATCACCAACACCCACCATCATCTCCAACAGCACTCATCATCGCCAACACTCACCATCATCACCAACAGCACTCATCACCACGAACACTCGCCATCATCACCACGAACACTCGGCATCACCACGAACACTCGGCATCATCACCAACACTCGGCATCATCACCAACACTCGGCATCATCACCAACACTCGGCATCATCACCAACACTCGGCATCATCACCAACACTCACCCTCAGCACCAACCCTTACCATCAACACTATCCATCACCAGCACCACCACTCACCGCCAGCACCACCACTCACCGCCAGCACCACCACTCACCGCCAGCACCACCACTCACCGCCAGCACCACCACTCACCGCCAGCACCACCACTCACACAACACTTACCAACACAAACCACCACTCACCAACACAAACCACCACTCACCACCACCAGCACAAACCACCACTCACCAGCACAAACCACCACTCACCAGCACAACCACCACTCACCAGCACAAACCACCACCACCACCACTCACCAGCACAAACCACCACTCACCCACCACTCACCAGCACACCAACTCCAACCACTCACCAGTTTCTCACACCACCACTCACCAGCACGACCACCACTCCCATGTCACTACACCACCACACCCACCTCACCACCAGGTGCTCCACTCCCCACCATCAACCTCCCCACCATCACCAACCTCCCCCACCATCCTGCCTCCCCACCATCCCCTCCCCACCATCACCAACCTCCCCACCATCACCAACCTCCCCACCATCACCACACTCACCCCACCATCACCAACCTCCCCACCATCACCAACCTCCCCACCATCACCAACCTCCCCACCATCACCTCCCACCATCACCACACTCCCCACCATCACCACTCAACCTCCCCACCAACAACTCCCCACCAGCCTCCCCACCAACCTCCCACCAACTCCCCCCAACCCCCCACCACCTCCCCCCCACTGCTCCCCTCCTCACCACTCACCACCACTCCCATCATCCCAACACTCCCCAACACTCACCATCATCGCCAACCTCACTAGCACTCACCAACACAAACCACTGCTCACCAACCCTCACCAACTCACCAACCCTCATCATCATCATCACTCACCACCCTCTGCCTCCACACCACACACACACTTAACCAACCGGTACTATATGTGTTACTAACTTGTAGAGCCGCTAGAGCGACTTTCTTTATTCTGCTAGTCTGTAGGCCGCCTCTCTGTTGCCCCAGTTTGAAAGTGTTCTCGTCCTGTAAACACCAGGGGGTGGTGGTGAATGTTAGTGGTGACGAGAGTTGGTGGTGATTAAGGTGATTGTTGGTGGTGATTGTTGGTGATGAACACCAGGTGGTTTTTACAGGATGAGAATGCATTCATGCTGGGGTGACAGAGTGGTGGCCTGCAGGCTAGCTGAATACAGTAATTGTGTAAAAAAATAACTTGGGGTCATAAATATTCACTATAATATGTGGAAATCAGTTCTATAAAGAGCAACCAAGTTGAATGCTACTTTTTTTTCGCGAGGAGAGCGCTGATTGGCTGCGAGCATAAATGGGTATATCTCTCGTTGGTGGAGAGACTGTAAACAAGCATGGCTGGTGTTGGCGAGTCCTGAGTGTTCTGCCTTGTATTATGGATTTCCATAATTTTTTTGTTTTTTGTTTTCTAGTAAAAAATTACTCCAGGAGAGGACCAAAGAGCTCATAACAAATTGGCATTATACAGGGTAGGGCTTAATGGGGTGTTACTGTAATTATAGGTGATAATTTGAATACGAAGGGTCCATTACATTTTACTTTAACGGGTCTGATTCCATAATATATGAACCTGGTCAGTGTGTCTGCTAAAGTCAAGATCTGTTATAGACGGTGATTAATGCTTTACCATTTGTTGTCTGTAGTGGTGTTCCTCTTTTATAACAAGGCCTGGGACCCCTGACACTCGTGTATCATTTCATTGTCACAAACCATTAGCACACTCATTCCCCAAAACTTTTCAACATCCTGTTATATGGTAATACAGTTTATGCCCACCTCTACTTCAAGATGTCCATCCTTGACTATCCTTACGTCATCCTTCCACCCCTTTCACAGATGCACACCATTCATTTCTGAATTATGTTCATAGTTGATTTTAGAATTTGGGATCATTGTTGATAACATGTTGTAAATGTTCATATGGCTTTTGTTAAATTGAGTGCATTATTAGGACAAAATTTAATACTGTGTACTGTTGCTTTTTATTTCTTATTATAAATTTGTAGATTTAACTCTTCCTCCAGTTTTTTATGGATTTTCACACTATTTTGTACAAATTGTTTTATGATATGTAATGTACATTTACTTTTGTGATTCTGATATTAGGGTTTCTGGTGGTTGTGGTCTATTATTATTTAATAAAACATCTGGGGAATATATGTCATTCTCACATGACACATTAAAATTTTATCACCAGTAGCCATTACTACTCTTCTTAATATTCTCTAGTTTACTTTTTGTTCAGGAGGCAGATGCAAATGGGTACTTTTTTCAATAGTCCTGTATTTAAGGGCTATTCATTAACTTTTCTGTAATTTTGAACAGAGAACATATACTGAACAGTATTCTGTCTTCTCTTATTTATGTAAAACTACTATACTTTTTTCTTTGTCTATTTTCAGAGCAGAGCAAACGAGAAATAGATGTTATCACCATTCCTAACAGAAATAATCTTTATGTTCATGAACCACGATCCAAAGTAGACCTAACAAAATATCTAGAAAATCAGAATTTCCAGTTTGATTATGCATTTGATGAATCCTGCAATAATGAACTTGTTTACAAGTAAGTTATAATGAATTTGTTAGATTTCTCCCATGTCACACATTTCCCATTTTTGGTGAGTTGCCTTAAATCTATCCTGTCAGACCTTTAAACAGTATCTAAATAGCTTAGAATGATATGAGTTGGTTGACATTCTACTTCCAGTAGTTACATTAACCCCATTTATTACATTGTCTGTCCAGCTATAATTTACAGGCTCTTGGTTATTTATCCTTTCTTTATTTGTCTTATTCACTGTTTTTTGTTAATGCACATCCTTCTGCGATATATCGCCATTGTATTATATGTTATGTAATTTAAAAACAATGCAGGAGAGAGAATTTGGTACATATACAATGATGTGCTTTCCTATAAGCTGCATTGAGAAGAATCTTAGACACATATTCAATCCCTTTTGACTCTCTTCAAAATCTTGGTCATATGTAAAACCCTCTTCAAATATTGCAGCCACTATCTTAACATTAACTACAGTATTGTAAGAATTGAAATTTTTGCATTTAAATTGATCTACTGGTTTGACCATTGAAAGTAAATCCTCATGGGGAGCAGTCGTAAGAAATGATACTAGAGTTAGGAACCTGACAATAAAGACTGCAAGACACTGTGCAGCATGGAGAGCTGCCATCAGATCACTGCATCTAACCCACATAAAACGATGATGAAGATGTGATGTTGATTACCTAGGTTCTTGTACACTATCTAGAAAACAGAAGGGATTGGTTCTTTTAAGAAATACCAGTAGCTTCCGAGGCAAGAACCTGATGGTAATCAAGGTTAACCCATGCAAGCATGGAAAATGACCTTAGAATTGTGATGGTTATATTTTATATATTGTGTACACTCGTCAGAAATACCTATTTAGTGGGTTGCAGTTCACTATCTCTTATTCATAAATATAATAGAGGCAATTAAGTTTCTTACAATTTACAGTTTTTCTTAACAGATGTAATAATGTTTCATACAATTTGTATCTTAACAGGTATACAGCAAGACCACTAGTTCAAACAATTTTTGAAGGTGGCATGGCTACTTGCTTTGCTTATGGCCAGACTGGGTCTGGAAAGACCCACACAATGGGTGGAGATTTTCAGGGCAAGAGTCAAGATTGTGCATCAGGAATATATGCGATGGTGGCAAAGGATGTATTTATCTTCACCAAGAACCCAAAGTTTAGACATCTTAATTTACAAGTTTCGGCAAGTTTTTTTGAAATCTATGGTGGTAAGGTAAGACATATTTGCTTTTACTTTACAGCAGTAACTCTTAGAGATGAAAATTTATAAAACAAATGTTCATGTGTTTGCCTAGTGGAACACTGAAGTGTCTAAGAACCTCTATTTTTTATATAAAAGTTATGTACAATTTTGGCAGGTCTAGGAAGGGCTAGTATGTCTTTTATAGGAAAGTGTAAAAAAAATGGGGAATATTTATGCATGCACGCACAACTTGATAACTGTAAAGTCATAGTGAACCAACCATTCTCACCAGATATTGAACCAAGAATTTGTCATAAGTATAAAGGCAACATATTGTTTTCCGTCAGATTTCATACCTTATGGGTGATAGAAATCTCAGATTTTGTATTCTTCAATTTGTTAGTTGTTCATGCCTGCTTATATCAACAGGTTTTTGATCTCCTAAATAGCAAGACTAAGCTGCGGGTGTTAGAAGATGGCAAAAATGTTGTTCAAGTGGTAGGTCTACAAGAACGTGTATGTGAGTCTGTAGATGATGTCCTCAGACTCATCAATTTAGGTTCTCAAGTGCGAACTTCTGGTCAAACTGCTGCCAATAATCAGTCCTCACGTTCTCATGCTGTCTTCCAGGTAAGTCTTACTTGTGTTAGTGTAACGTTTATAATAATTACTGTACTAGCTAGATAATATGGCTACTGCCTCTATAGTCACATTTCTATTATTAGTAGTATTGTTGTTTATATCCTTTCTTAATTTGTCACAAATTTGTTCTTGCCACTGGAAGAGAAGTGTTTTGCTATGGTATTCACTACCACAAAACCCTAGAGCTTGACCTGGTGTACCACAGGGTGCTTCATACCACCTGGTGTCACTCATTAACATTTCCTTCTCAAATACTGTACTCACTTGACTAGATGATCTATACATTCTTGCTTCTATTTTACCTTACTATGAATCGTTTGCAGATTTTAATAAAAATTTAATTTTTAAATGTCTTAATTATAACATGTGATCATTTGAACTTAACTCAGTGATGTCATGTACAATAGTTTTAGGGGAGAGATGTGTTGCTGATGTATATTGTTTGGGTATAGTGTGAAGTGTTAAGTTGAAGAGAATGAATGACATTTAGTGTCAAAAGAATGTGTTGCTCTTGGTTCCACCTTCCCTCTGCTTCACTGTAAAGAAAAGCTTGCAAGAATAAAGCCTGTCGTAGGCATTAAAGGTTAAATGTTGAAACTTTTGTAACCTTCTTAGTTACTATCAAAATTTTAAGATTTACCATTCCTGGCCTGACATCATTGCAATTTGCTAAGTTTTTACTTTTAGTTGAATAGCCTTAAAAAAGTTTATTCAGCATCTGGTTAATCGTGTATTGAGTCACCTCATAAGTGGTCAGTGCCTTATGTACAGGTAAACCTCAATTTTCAGTGGGGGTTAAGTTCCTGGAAACCAATGGCAAATCAAAATATCGTAAATCAGGTTCATTATAACATGGGGTTCAATGGGATAGGTTCCTGGCCAGTCGGACACCCTTGTCACCAGAAGAAGAAAAAAATAAAATAAAATAAAATAAAATAAAATCCTAGAATACTACCAGTGCTGCGACACAAACAACACTCGCCACATCAGTAAGAAGTCTAGTTGTCATCACATGTCCCCCTTCAAAGCTAAGGGACTTAAGGGGGCATGGAGACATGAACCGGAGTCCCATACAGACTTTGGGGAGTCTGAAGAGTGAGGACACGAGGTGTAGTCTTCGTCCTGGCCTTAAAGATGGTGAGGAAAATGCTTGCCAGACTTTTTCAGATTTACTCTGCTCACTTTAATCATAATAATAATGATGGGAACTAAATTCTTTTACGAAAAAGCTCATGAAATGTTGTGATGGAGGTGTGGTAGGGAATTAGTACATCATCCTACTGACCTGACCTGATCAATGTAAGATGGAGGTGGGGTTGGGTGTTCTCATGCAATGTCAGGTCACCCAGTCTCAGGGTGGAGGATTAGTGGGTCTCTTGATCTGAAGAGGTCTTGAATAAGATGAAAGCTAAGTAGCAAATGTATTTATGGCTCATAAAAAAGTGTACTGTATAAACTTTTATTCACACATGCTGTAATTGTAATAAAGAAGTGAGTGAAAGGGAGGGAGAAGGACAGACCCCCAAGAATGTGGTCAATTGGGGTGAGCAAGTGCAATGTCCCTCCCTCACCACCATCTAATCCTGGCGAATAGTATTTGATCTAATCATGTTAGAGAGATTTTGATACCATAATGATCCTGAATAAACTTTCTACTAGACTGTTTCAATAAAAGATCCTTAAACAAAATACTTTGACAATATAGTGATGGGGTCTCAATTCTTTTATGAAAAAATGTAAGAATTGTTGATACCACAGTCTGTAAAATCAGTTCTAATTGAAAATTTTTTTTTTAACTAAATTAAACATGAAAATTATATCTAAAAGTTTGGTTAAATAAATATAGTATTTAAAAAACTAAAAATCAATATGATAGGGGCATGCGAGGTGCCTTGTGAATGGAGCTTATCACAATAGAATTTTCCACATTGTATTGGGGAAACTTTCCCCGAGTCTTGAGTGACGCATCTCACATGGACAGACATGAGCTGTATCTAGTTATGCAAACACTACTCTACACATAAAATATATTATAAATAAACAAAATAATGTATTGGTTGGATCTTTTTAAGCTGGGAAGCTTGGGACCAGACCATTTCCGGATTAAAAAAATTCTGAACCATCGAAGCCAAGGTTTAAAGGGGCAAAATAGTGCATGAAATGTACTATTACTGGTACCAATACAACTTACATCAGCATAAATCTAGCCCAGAGCTAGACAAGAATTTACTTGATATACTCTTAAAATTCGATGCCATAATATCTTGACCACTGTGAAAAAGCCATAATTTTGAGCAACATAATACTGTACTCAATTTGTACTCAGATGTACTAAGCTAAAGGACTAAAATATTTATCTCGTGCAAATTATGTGATGTTATACTCAAATTAATCAATATCTTGCAAGGATTCCAGCAATGCAAGTTATATTCATATAAGCTAAGTATGTGACATTTTATAAGGAAAACTTATAAGTAAAGCCTACAATCACTTTCATCCCATTAATCATTATCGCCCTCCTCTATCTGCGTCCCCTGCTGGCTGGGGGGAGGGGGAGGTTTTGACTGCCCAGAGTCTGGTGGTGAGTAGATATCAGTTGAGGGGTCATGGAGCAATTGGGGTTTAAAAAAAAAAAAAAAAATTATTTTCGCTTATAAATTGTCGCCGACTTGACTTAGCCGAATATAACTTGCATTGCTGGAATTCTTGCAAGATGACAATTAATTTGAGCGTAAACATCCCATGGTTTGCACTAGACAAAACTTTTAGTAGTTAATTTAGTACATTTGAGTACAGGTTGTGATAATTGTAATGATTTTTTCCACAGCTTTTATAGTTTTACTGTTGACTTTAGGAGTTGTGGAACATATCCTAATTTTCCCCATAAGCTTAAGTATTCACTATATGCGTCCCGAACCATCGAAGCTGCCAGACTATCGGGTCCTGGATTAGCGGGGTCCAACCTGTATATTACTACTGTCATCTTGAACCCACAGAATGGTGGAGAATCAATTCGTTAATGAAAAAAAGTAAGAAATGCTGATACTGGAGTATACTTTAGAAACATCTCTTTTACTAAAGTAATCTTAATTAATTTTTCTAAGTTTGGTTAAAAAAATAAAATTCTATATGTAACGGGCATGCGAGTTGCCTTGTGAATGGAGCTGTGTGTGTCAGTGGAATTGTCCACTGTTTTCCCCGAGTAAGTGACCATCTCGGACGGACTTACACGAGCCGTTTTTATTTACGCAAACGCCACAGTACACGTACAATATATTATAAATAAACAAAATAATGTACATTACTACAGGTCCACAATCCCTTATCCGAAACCCTTGGGGCCAGATGTGTTTTGGAATTCAGAATTTTTCGGATTTCAGAACAGTAGTATAGTACATATACCTTATATTATGGTAACACCCTAACGAGGTCTGTGGCAGCACCCCTTAAGCAAACGCATTAATACCTGTATTTCTGCAACTAACCTTATGAATATTCACACTGAGTGGGATAAATAAAGATTATGAACAGTATTACAGGTTATTTGTTACAGTACAGTAAAGCCACTAATGGCAAAGAAAAAAGCGAGATGGATTGGGAACCCCAAAGTATACGTGCACACTCAAGGAAACGACGTCATTTATCGTAGTATTAAGAATATGAACAAAAGATTAATTATTGTTTATTACTGAATATGTATTTGATTGAATTAATGTTTATATATGTGAAATGAACAATGCAATTCTTTAATACTATGTAGAATATTAAAACGCACAAGAGGAGACGAGACGCCATTGTTGTTGTCAGTCTTTACACCCATAATGTCAGTTATCCATCTGAAACTGAAGAAAATAAGACCCTGGGTGGTGGTGTAGTAAAATTAATGTAAAAAAAAAATTAATGTTATTTAATGTACAGTAAAGGTAATCACTGATGTTAGAGAGTGATAGTGGAACGGCAATGCACAGTATACTTGCACCCGTAAGGAAACCGTTTCTTTATCTTAAGAATATGTAGAAAAGATTCATTATTGTTAATTACTGAATGTGTATTTGATTGAATTATTTTTTTACATGCGAAATGAACAATACAATGCATTAATAATACGTAGACTATTAAAACACACCCGTGACAATGGTTCTACATGAGAAACTCGAGAAAATAAGACCCTGGTTGTAGCTGTAGTAAAATTAAGGTAAAAATTAATATTATGTTTTAAGTACTTTATATCTCGGCGTATAAGCCGAGGTTGTGAGCCCCCAAAATTCCAAAAAATCATGGCGTTGGCTTATACAGCAGATCTAGGTCATGAACCTTAAAAATTTCTGGTACATAGTAACGAGACACACTATTTACTACTCAAAAACTTCAATGTGACTGCCCAATCAGTTGTTATTCTCTTTCTGAGAACCCATATATAAAACAACTTTGAAATACATCTTTGAAATACATCTTTGTTATTATAAAGACATGAACTGAAATGGCATAAAATACTAAAATAATAGAAATAATACAACAGCGACATGACACGACTTGTTTACAACCCATTATTACTGGCGTGGTGCCTTGATCAGCTGTTATTCACCCCAAGGATATTAGTGTAAAAGAAAGTGATGAAATACAAATTCTTTATTTAAGACATGGATAAAAAAAATCCATAAAATAGGTTAAATACAATATATAATTGAAATGGTTTTGAATCCTTCAAAATCTTCCTGTGAACTAGTGGTTCCTTCCGGTGAATCCCAGTCCTCCGACTCGGCTTCGGCTTCATCGCCATCTTCCCGCACCACATCATCCTCCTCACCGTCCAGAGAATTGGATATGCACCATTTTTTTTTATGATTTTTACTACTGTTTGTTTTTATGGCATTCCAAGAATCTATCAGAAATTCGCACAGCAACTCAAGTGGCGCAGCTCGCATATTTCCTCCTTTTGTGAATGTTTTCTCACCTTCAATCATCAACCTGTTCCACTTATCTCTAAC